TTTAGCAGATGCAACGGAAGACAATGTTCTTTGCATCTTAGACTCTGACACAATAATGGCAGTAGCTACTTACAGCTGTGGATCGAACACCTCTTTCCCTCGTTCTCCTTTCTTCCTTTAGTTTTTGGCTATCAGCGCAAATGAACAACAAAATCCGGTGCTGCTGACCTGCCGCACAGTCGCGCATTCACGTTAAGGATGGTGCAGTAACGCAGCGTTACTTGGATTAGTAACTGTAATAATATTACTGTTTTAGAAACGTAATTAGTTGTCCATGTAGAGTGAACTAGATGTCTGCGTGTTTATACGCTCTGATAATGCTAATCCGACACATCTTTGTAGTAGCGTCCATGTTGATTCCACATTCCGACTTAAGAGCACATGAACACGCACTGAAGTCGGAAGAACGACTTTACAACTCGGGAAATGGGACCATCCGAGGAGCACATGGATGCTCCGTGAGCCACTGGTTGTAATTCGTAACCCACTAAAACTTACACACTGATTGCAGTATTATTTGAAAGTTTGCCGTACATGGTGGATTGTCCAGCAACAACTTAGCCATGAATGTGTGTATTTTTCCACACTGTAAAGCCGTGGTCTGTGGATTTGTGAAAACGTTGTATAGTCTCTCACTTTGACTTCTCACTCCTGTGTGCTTTTCAGACTCCTACTCTGATTGTGTTCGGAGCCCTGGACACAAATCTGGGTGCTCAGTCCCACAAGAACCTCATACAACTTCCACATCACGTTGTGCTAAAGTTGGAGGGAGCTCGCCATGCCTGCTACATGGACAAACCCAGAGAATTTCACCAAGGATTGATTGACTTCCTTGGCAAACTAAAGTGAGATATGTAGCGGAGGAAGAGGGTGGTTTAGTGCGGTGACAGTTTCGCTAAAAAATAGTAAGATCCGCATTATTCTCATCTTGTCAACACCTGAAGCAAGGAACATTGACATGGGAGTAGGTTTTAATACATGGAATATGGCATGTAAAATCTGTTATCAATGTGACCATTAACACTACAGTATTTCAGTTCCCAAAATAAAAAAAAGTTATAGTTATTTTTTCAGTTTTCCATAGTGTCACCCAAACATACCAGAGTAGTTCAGCTCAGCTTGTCAGGAAAAAAAACTCCATCAGACTTAGTGGTGAGTTTTGTTTCATGTGACTCTTTGCATGTTAAAACATGGAATATGTTCGCTTCACTGTTACCATTTTTGTAGGTGACATGTAGGTTACTGTAAACATGCAGATGTAGCAGGTGCCTGTGTTTAAAAAGCTTCTGTTCGCTTCACACTCGACAAACAGTTCTGGTAGCTTCCAAGAAAACATATGCTGTTCTCCACAAAGGCAAACAGAACTGATACAATGTAATTTAAAAAATGTATAAAATAATATGGACCATATTAAATGACAAAAAATGTTCACATTTGTTAATATAATGATGATAAACTTATATGTAATATATTTGCAATAAGTTTGGACAATCGTGCAAATGTTAAATTAAGATATATGCAGAACTTAAAATAAAAACAAAAATGTAGTGTTTTGTATGTTTCAGTTGTTTTGGGAACTTAAGGTTGTTTGATGTATTTATATAATGTGCTGTTTTGAGGTTATTATACTGCTGCCTTTCAGAACATATATGTTCACTGAAGCACTGTGCCTGTCATTGTGTGTGTGTGTCTGCAGAGTTGCAGCTCTAACCAGTTTCACACTTGCAGAAGCAAGACAACAACCTTTCACCTGTCTCGGCCGATATATCAGCACGCTGTCCCTCTTCCAAGGACCCAACATGCTAAAATTACACTTCCAGCTGACCTTATTATATACAGAGACAAATTAACCTTCAATCTGTGCCTGATATAAGTTGTTTTGCAGTTTGAGATGGATATTGCAGCATTATACAATAGCATCAAAAGCCATTTTTAATGGATAATGATATTGTTAGGCTATATGAACACATTTGAATTATATTACAATTCAAATTTTCCGAGTCAAACTGGATAATGTTAACAGGGTTATGACCTTGTACATACCACTAAAGAACTAATCTGGTTCTTGCTTGCCCAAAGTGTATTGTTAACTTTCCTTTGCATGCCTGTATTTTAATCTAGTATTGCTACTTTTAAGGATGTGAATACTTTCTTCACCCTTGGTACTGTATACTGTTACATAATGAAATAGTATAAATTAAGCGCAAAAAACTACTGATGTCGACTGTTGTAAGAATTAAGTTTCACCTCATTACTTTTTTTGTAACAGCAGTTAAAACGTGTGTATTACATATAGTTTTTACAAATATAGTCAATATAGTTGTGACCGTTTTCTTGGTCAAGGCCCGAACTCGTGCATATCTGTTTTGAAATAACATATTTTTATGTTAATGTCTCAAAACAGTTAGAAATAAACGTTCAGTTAAAAGGTAGAATTTCATTCCTGTGGCAGGTCTTTTATGTTGAAAGGCAGGAACAGCCCTACCAGCTGAACCAGGGAAGCTGCGTACATGACGCGCTGAGTTGACTGCGCACGGTGAGTATAGAGGGGGATATCTAGCTAAAAAAACAATAATTAAATACATGTATCGTTGTTTCGCTGTCCTGTAATCCTTGCTTACTACCTCCACTCTTAGCTAGTCTATTTAAAAGTGGGTTACAAGTCTTTTTGTGAAATTCAGCGAGCATTTCCTCGCTGTCCTCTCTGCGCAGAAAACACAACCCGGCGTTTGTACACAGCTCTGTCTCTGTGAAGGGGGAACAAACAGCTCCGACTCAACATTTAATCATCCAGCCGTGATTTGTTTGTCAGCTAACCATAGACTATAAAAAACAGGTAACGTTATATTAATTCATTCAAACTTTTATTGAAAGAACCACAGAGGTTGGTTGCCCTCATTTGCAATGTCGCGTAACACACACAAAACAGGACACAAACCGATGAGGGCAAAGAAAATGTATTAACAGTTTTATTTTTTAGTTTAATACTTAATTACCTGCCCGACGACATCTAGTTTGTACTTTGTAGTTTGCCAAGATATGATGCTGTTGTGGTCGTAGCAGCAGAGTTGGGAGTAAATCGCTGTCACCACTGACTTTACTTGATGTGTTGTTGTTGTTGTTGTTCCCTCTGTATCGTGGTGGTTTTCATGGTACTGGATTTATCCAGAAGCGCATACCCGACCTTTAACTATAGGTCAACACCATAGGTCAAGACACAGACATATAGCTTATCCTGCAGTTAAATGCTGCTGTAACGTGAGCTGCGAATATCTGTGCCGGTGTTATGCCGAGTTTTGCTGCCTGCCGAGAATTGCATGCACCTCCAAATACTGCTTCTAAACGCTATGATATTCTTTGTGGGGTCCATCAATGGTGTTAAATGATTAGAAGTATATATTTTATGAACGTTTACAGTCTTTAATATTTCAATACACTTAGCAGAAGTACCATTCCTTGACATTTAGTAAATATATGTGGTGATAATGCCGTTTGATCAATGAGCACAGCAAAGTGTCTGAAAAGGACCTAAAGAGGTGGAGGCATAATTCGGCAGATCAGATTTTGTAGGCTACCAGCCGAGATTTGCATCCACCTCTTTTCTCAGCAAAAATGACCGTTATCACGAGGGGCCTGCAATTCTCGCAAGCAGGAAACACCGGTTGCGAAACGGTGGTGAAACCAGCCGATGTCTGAATTTCGTTTGCGCCTATTTTCGTGTTATTATGGTCCTTGAGCAAGGCAAAGGTTCTGAAAGACACATACGCGTTTTCTTTCGTGATCTTAGTTGTTTTATAAACAACACGAATATAATGAATATAATAACAATATTTATTATTATTATTATTAGTAGTATTACTGCATCAATTTGGAGAAATCCTGCTTGGAAATGCCCTCCAACACCAAACTTTGACCTTTCACTAAACTAACTACTTAAAAAGTATAGTTCAACATTGTCAATATATATGATATAATTCTGTTATAACTGGTACAAATTTGGTATTGTTTCACTGCACCAACTTGGAGAAATCCCACCTTAAAATCCCCTTCAACACCAAAATGTACACAAACACACTTACATTTATATTGTAACTTTGACCGTTAACCAAAGTAATTACTCAATAGGTTAGTTCTCCGCTGTCTTGGCATCTGCTTCCTCATGTCTTCTACTATCACTGGCACAGATTTGGAATCATTTCACTGCACCAACTTGGAGAGGATCAGATTAAACAGAGAGAAAATTTTAATAAATATATCTTAATACATCAGCTCATTAAATTAGCCATTATCGTTAGCAAACATGTTATTTCAACATTTTGAATAATTGAAAAGTTATTACCCTTTCACTGCAAAACATTTATTGATTATCTTTATAGCCTACATTCAGGGGCATTCATTTGAACTATGATAAGGCCAGACAGAAATGGGTTGCAAAGGGCAGAGTTCTGAGTGTTATCTCCTCCCTCAGAACATTTAATTAAACTATTATGTGAGATTCAATAACTCGCACCATTACCTACACTTAAATACAAATGTTCTTTTTTGTTTAAAAAGAACATTTATTCTTTTTTCTACCAAAAAAAGAACATTCCTACAAATTGTGCCAAGAGGTGAGTTTCCTAATAATTGTCTCCTAAACTGTACAGTGAAAGGACTTGATATTGTACGTGTATACGGTATGTATGGTTATAGTCAGATTTTGAAGTGGGATTTCTTCAGGTAGGTAAAGCAGTGAAGCAGTTGCCATTACAATGGTGAACTAACCTATTGTGGAATTAGTTTTGTGAAAGGTCAAAGTTCAGAGAAATGTATCTGTGTTGGTATTGGTGTGGGACAGCATTTCCCAGCAGTGTTTCTCCAAATTAATAATAATACTGTTATTATAGTAGTGTTTATTTATGTTCATGAATCAAGGAAGAACATGAAAGAAACCGCGTATGTATCTTTCAGGACCTTCGACCATCCATACCATAATAACGTTAATTGAGGCGCAACAAAATTCAGATAGTGTTTGACTTGACAAACACAGTGTCCCATTCAGCGACTCGCGTTACACCACTAGCTAACCGAGGAGACATTAATAAGTAACTTCAAGTCTAGCTTGCTTAAGCATCAGACTGGTCCTTCAGCAGCAGAGCTTTCAGCAGGTAACTTTAACTACAGCTAACGTTGATGTTCAGGCTGCTGGCCTGGCACCAAACGAGCTATAACTGGAGCTAGCGATTGTTTAAGTAACGTTACGTGGTTCCCTTATTGTGAACCTTCGTTGGGCATTTGTCACAGGATCCTGGCATGTTGGTTATTTTGCTTGATTGTGATGTGTCGTTATGTTGTTTATAATGTTATTCTCTATGCTTGTCCTCAGAGGAGTAAATAAATATACAGCATGCTGCCTGACAAAGATGGTCCAGGTGTTGGAGGCGGAAAGAGCTGGCCTGAGGGAGAAGACCCCTCTGTGAGTCTGTTCAGAGAGTACCTCCGTCTCAAAACTGTCCACCCTGACCCTGACTACGGTGAGCCATCTTCATTACAGTACACTGAGATTAATCCATGCCCTTTAGAAATGTCACAGGTGGATGTTTGGCATTAATCTTTGTGGGTCGAGCTCAGTTTTTTGGGGTCAGAGTCAAAACAGTTGCTGGAATATGAAACTTGATGAGGCCATTTGCCCAACATGCATGCCATGTCCCTTTCCAGTTCCAACAACACAGTATTTTTTTATGTTGGTGTAATTTAACTTATAAAAAAACTCCAGTGTGAAATGCCTGTATCATCTGTATCATCTTATGTGCTGTGATTTATCAAAGTCCACTTCTTATCTGGGTCTGTTAGACATTAAGTTCTTCCAGTAATGTATGAAGCTCATATACTGAAAAGAAAGCTGAAGCCTCTTTTGTCTGGCGGCAGTACTAACAGCAGACCTTGGAGGGACTGTGTATCTCCCAGTTGGCCTTAGAGCTTGTGGGATCCCCTAGTAGTGAGAGCTGGATAGGCGATAAGAGAAAGCCTGCTTTTTGTTCTTGGTTTTCTGTGACATTGTGGCAGTACTGTTGGTCACATAAGACCAGCAGCAGCAGGAATTATTGCCTAGTGTTTTACACAAAATTGTTAGTCTATAAACAGACTGTTCTGCTATCTGTTTGTTCACGTACAGATGCTGCTCTTCGGTTCCTGGACAGAATTGCGGACGAGCTTGGGCTACCCATGAAAAAGATTGAGGTGTGCGTTAATAATTTAATTCATGTAGAAAACATTTATGTACATGCTGTAAATAGAGTACAGAAATAAATACTTCCCTTGAAATGAGGCACTGGGCCTTATCTGTCATTCGCTCACTGCCTTTAGGTTTGTCCAGGCAGAGTTGTGTCGATCATGACATGGGCAGGGACCGACCCGACCTTGAAGTCCATCTTATTGAATTCCCACACAGATGTTGTACCCGTTTACCAGGTACGGCATCTGTCTCTGTTTACAGCGTTAAAATCCAGTTCATATCTGTAATAGAGATAAAAAATAGATTTGATATCAATCTCTTCTCCAGGAACATTGGAAATACGATGCTTTCAGTGCTTTCAAAGATGCAGAGGGCAACATTTATGCCCGGGGATCACAGGACATGAAATGTGTAACTATACAGTGGGTATAAACTGCCTTGATAACATATTAGACAGGATTTCTGCTCCAGTATTGTTGTAATCTTTACTTTCAATTATGTTGTGTGAAACACCTGTTTTAACACGCGCTCACACAACCTGCATACTGTCAGTTCAGACTCCATTTCTTATTTCTGTCCTAACTCTGTCGTGTCCTCTTCTGTTCTTTGTAGGTACATCCAGGCAGTCAGAAGACTGAAGGCAGAGGGACGGAAACTGATGCGCACTGTGCACTTAATGTTTGTTCCTGGTAAGATATCCTTTTGTCTTTGTTTGAAGTATCTGCACACCCTTGGTCTACAGTCTTTGGTCCACCCTCACAGGCAGGAGTGGAAATTAACACCCGCCAAGCGCTAAATACGGCTAAATGTTGGAATTTTTTGGTACGATATTGTCAATGTATTCGGTACGATATCGTCCTATATAATATATTTTTGACGATAGCAAACAGCAGATCAGCATCGTTTTTTGTTGTGTGTTGCACTTAAATTGGGCCCTTCTTCTTCTTTTGTGGATTTATGGAGGTCGGCATCCAAAATGTTGCATTACCGCCACCTACTGGATGATTTAGTTTTCCCAGTGCAATAAATTTACAGTGCCCGCCCAAAGTACTCCAATGCATTGTCCGTTCTATGACTCAGATTCAGTTGTTGTGAAATAGCTTCTTGTCCATGCTTATCATATTCTGCTCATCTCCATTCCTTTTTGGCTCCTGTTCCTTTTGCCCTGCTGCTGGTTCAGCCTTCCTTTCCAGTCTCTTGGTAGCTTCAGCGTATGACAGACACTCTTCTGTTCTGATTTTATTCACTTTTATTTGTTTTATTTTTTTTGCAGACATTGTGCTGACCCCACAATGGTGATTTCCCGCACAGTGAATGCACTTTGTTTGTTCCTGCTCCTCTTCACACTCCTCACTTTCACAGTTGTTCTTCCCACATTACATTTACATTTATTCATTTAGCTGATGCTTTTTTCTTCCAACTCCTCTACATACTGCTGCCACATGTCCATACTCCTGACAACAGAACATCGAACATCTCCGAGTTTTTCTCCAACAAACTTTCCAACCTTGCGTGAGTCCTTAAGAACCCATCCGTTCTTGTCACTACTATCATACCCACTTCGATACATCTCAGATCTTCTTGCCTGGCTGGCATCACTTGAAACACTATCCTTCTTCCTTTTCCTATTCACAAATCGTCTTGTGTCTTCTTTCCTGCTGCGCTCTCCTCGCTCTCCTCTGACTCCATTTCCCTCTTCCCGCATCAAAAATGAGGCTGAAGGAGAACATAAAAAAATATTAATTAATGAGGAGGTTTAAGTTGAATGAGAAAGCATGATTAAGAGTTAGCAGTGATGAGATTTAAGTTGAATGATTGATTAACAAACACCTTGTAAGTTTATAAAACTGTTTACTGTTAGAAGTGAATGTGGAAGTGAATGGACTATGTGGGAATGACACCACTTGACCCAAAACAGTGGACAAGATCATGCTAACACACGGCTAATTAGCACCAATAAGACTACCAAGAAGCAGAAGGCCTGTGTACTGGGTAATAAATCTGAAAGTGGGAGTCCTCCCTGGAACGCTCTTGGTGCAAAACCTAAGAGTAAATCATTTCCTGGGGAAATGGGAGGACAAGTAACAGGCAGAACCCAGCGCCCTGAGATTTGTGATGCGACTGGCTGGCCTGCATTATCATCCAGGCAGAGCGCCTCTTCAACCCCTGTTCTTGGTAGGACACAGCCGTGGACAGCTGCAAAAGGGAGAGTTAGCAACAAACCTCCCCAACAACCGATTGTGCAACAGCAGAACAGATTTTCACCACTATTGCAGGACCCTGGATCTCCATCTGATGACCTGGATAACATCCCATCCTCACACAGAAGGGTAAGGACTGAGAGTAAATCAGAAAGTAAAAGGCTGCAGGGAAAGCCAACGACTGGGCCTCAAACTCTGATTGTGGGTGACGCTGCTGTAAACGATGTAAGAAGCATGTGCAGTAAGAACACCAAAATACTCTGTCTTCCGAAGGATACGGTGTCTGACCTGGCAGAAAGAATCCTGCATATCGTGGCTGAACATCCTACTGTGAAAAACATCATACTGCGCATCGGGGCCAATGATGTTGTGAAGCAACAGTCTGAAGTGTTGAAAGAGGATTTTAATAATCTGTTGAGCACAGTCAGCTCTTTGAATGCTGAGGTTTTTATCAGTGGCCCTATACCGCCAATCCGAAGAGGAGCCGAGAGATTCAGCAGATTGATGGCATTGAACACGCAGCTCTCAACGGCCTGTACTGTCCATTCAATGCATTTCATCGAAAACTTTTACTTTCTGTGGGACCGCAGACATCTTTTTAAGGCAGATGGACTTCGCCTTAACAAGTCAGGAGTAAAATTGTTCAGCTTCAACCTTTTTTACTTCCTGCATCACTCATCTGTTCAGAGACAAGAGGAATCAAAACAAGAAGAAGACATAACATAACACACCAGAAACCTTGAAGGAGAGCTACCCCAACCCCCACTGGAAGAGAGCTCTGATCACGGGAGACATCTGAGCCAAGAGGAAGAGTCTCCACCTCTCTCACTGAAAACCAACAGTGAGGATTCAACATCTCTACCCCCCAATCCCCACCTTCAGACACACTTTCTCCCCTCTCCCCCCTGTTGGACTTCACTGATCACATGGAAGACCTGGTTAGAGCTGGGACCAAATTTACTCCCCGCCCCTTCCCTCGCTCTACTCCCATTTTCTCTACCCTAAACCCCCCCTCACCGTCCACCTCCACCACTGGTTCTAAGTCCTCCAGGTTTGACACATGTGTCACAAATACAGCGCACAACCCGCCTTCCCGCTCCGCAATGGCGAAAAAGCCCAGTAAGCTCTGTCTGATATGTGCTGGGTCCAGGCTACAAGGAAAATAGCACTCATGACTCTTCCCAGGACAAGCCGGGGCCCGGTGTGCTGGTAGTCTTCTCTATCCCTGTCTTGATAGGTAACAGAAAAAGCATGGTGAATGTGTTAAGAAACAGGAAGCACTCAACATATCCTGCAAATTTAGTATTAGTTCCTTGTCAGCCGCAGCCTGTCGAAAAAAGTGGGCCAGATAATGTTTTTAACACACTAAAATTAGCTTTGTTAAACGTTAGGTCTTTGGCAGGAAAACATTTTTAATCAATGATTTTATAATAACTCACAATCTTAATTTCATGTTTTTAACTGAAACTTGGTTGGACCAAGATAACAGTGCAGCTGTCCTTATCGAGTCTACCCCTCCCATCTTCAGTTTTATTAGTGAAGCTAGAGTGCATAAGAGAGGAGGTGGAGTTGTCATTTTGTTTAATGACTCCCTCCAATGCAAAAAGAAGTCTTATGGGAATTTTTGCTTCTTTTGAATATGTGGCTCTTCAGCTGAATTCCTCTTCTCGAGCTATTTTTCTGAATATCTACAGGCTCCCTAAATACTGTGCAAACCTTTTTGATGACTTTGGTGAACTGCTGTCTATAATCTGTATTGACTTTGACTGTGTGGTTATTGTTGGTGATTTTAACATCCATGTTGACCACCCCTAGGCAAGAGAGACTAAAGAACTGTGTTGTGTTCTTGATAATTATGGACTGACTCAACATGTGACGAAGCCCACGCACAATAATGGGCACACTTTGGACTTGGTCATCTCCAAGTGTCTGGACATTTCCTGACTGATTTTGCTCTCTCTGATCATTCCTGTGTTTTCTTTGAGAGTGCTATCTGCGTGCACACAAATGCTAAAACGGAGGTGATCACAAAACGGCTGAATCAAAATCACTGAAAACACTAGTGAAAAATTTATTGAGGCTTTCTCCTCAACACCCGCCTTCTCACGGGTCTCAGTCAGTGAGCTTGTAGATAATTTCAGTTCTAAAATTACAAATGTTATTGATGCCATTGCACCAGCCAAGGTGAAGGTGGTCTCTGGTAAGAGAAGATCTCCATGGAGAAATGCCACGCTGGTTAGAACTCAAAAAAGAGAGTGTCGAAAAGCTGAACGCAGGTGGCGCCATTGCGGAGTGGGAGGACGGGTTGGGCGCGGTATTTGTGACACGTGTCAAACCTGAAGGACATAGAACCGGTGGTGGAGGTGGACAGTGAGGGGGGTTTATGGTAGAGAAAATGGGAGTGGAGAGAGGGAAGGTGCGGGGAGTAAATTTTGTCCCAGCTCTAACCAGGTCTTCCATGTGATCAGTCCAACAGGGGGGAGAGGGGAGAAAGTGTGTCTGATCAGCCACAATGATTGAAAACACCATTTAATTAGAATCTGATTTGTTCTTCAAAACTAAGCACTTATTTAGCAGAAGTTAAACTATATGCTTGCCAGCTATGAGCAAAATATGAGATTAACAATTACATGTAAAATATATTTTTCTCTCACTTTAGATGAAGAAGTTGGAGGTCACAAGGGAATGGAAACATTTGTCAAGCATCCCGAGTTCCAAAAATTAAACATTGGCTTTGCACTTGATGAAGGTAAATAAATAACTGTTTGCAACATCTCTAAAAGTTAACGAGAATGAACCTGAACACTGACGGCCAATCAGTTACTTAAAAAGAACAAACTGGGGTGAATTATTGTTATACTATGATCACGTTTTCTGTTTAGTCGACAGTCTCTTAAAATTGTCTTGTCAAAACATTCCTGCCAGTAGTATAATTATCACTCTAGATCGTTGTGCAAGGTACAGCGTGTTAAACTGCAGATTTATATAGCAACAACATGTTTGCTTCATGCTACATTACCAGGAAGTCACTGGTGAAATTAGTATTTGGTGTAATGGTCCATCTTACTCTCATATTTTAATCGGGCATAATCACTTTCTTCTGGATTATTAATACAGACTAAACTAGGGCAAGTTGGTATGACTTTACAACCATAATTTGTTGCATTTGCTTTTATAATCTTTTTCTTTAAAAAGTAGTTTATTACGGACAAAGGAGAGAGGACAGGAAATGTCGGAGAGAGAGATGCAACAAAGGTCTCAGAACATAGCAGTTCCCTAAATAATAACCTTTTTTTATAGTTTGGGGTCACTTGTGATGTTTGTCCTAATAAATTACAGAATGACCAGTTAAATACTTTACTGTGAGGTGACTGGATGGTTAAACTTTTGCTTACATGTCACTGAGACAAAGTTAACCTGTCTGCATAGTGGTGTTTGATATAAAGCCAGTATTTGATGTTAACTGAAGTGCACAGAGTCAGGGAGAGTATTACCCACTGCACCAAATGACCTTTATTGATTTTTAAAGCCGAAGGCAAATGTTTGCTGAAATTCTGTCCCTGGTTATGAAGGTTCATACTCCCTCAGGTGGTGTAGCTGTTAATCTGTACATCTTCTGTCCTTTGTCCCACAGTTTGTTCTTTTCGTAGTTGCTTTAATGCACTAGACTAATGTTAAAAGGGTTTTATTTGTCTGCATGTGCTCTATAGGTCTGGCCAACCCCGGCGAAGCCTTCACTGTGTTTTATGGAGAGAGGAACCCCTGGTGTGAGTATGAAATACATACAGTAAAAGACTTCCGCCATTTCACAAGATTCCAGGCTTTTTGAATCAAGCACAATGACTTCTTCTTTCCAGGGATCACAGTCCACTGCCCAGGCAGTCCAGGTCATGGGTCTAGGTTTGTGGAGAACACAGCTGCTGAGAAGCTGGTAAGTGTCAATTTCGCCTAGCCAGTTACTGTTGAATCATGAAGACTGACTGAAAGACAGTGTCTGTGATAATACTGTCTTTTCCTTCTCAGCGCCAAGTCATAAACTCCTTCCTGGACTTCAGAGAGAAGGAGAAACATAGGTGAGATTGACATCTTGATCATTACAAAAGGCATATGGCAAGACAGATGTTCTCATACAAACTTTGGAGTAAGTTTGGGGTGATACATTTTAGTGCAGTTATTCTCCAAATGTGAGCTTTAAGGCCCGAGTCCCTACAGGAAGTAACAGTACAAAAGCTCCCCTCTGTGCTGCTTTTCATGTAGTAGGTACAAATAAAATGCTGAAAGCGTCTCACAGCAGCTGTAAAATTAACATTTTGACTGTTTTTAATATTCCAACTGTGCAAGAGTTGCCCTGAATGTCTTGTGAGTCTGTTTATGGCTGGTTCCTCCAAGAGGAATGCTGCCGAGATGCTTTAATGAACCATGTGTACAGTGAAAACACTGCATTCATGTTCAAAGCTGAAGGATGTAAGCAGCCCTGATTAATTGTCGAAGCAATAATCTGCCACCTGTGCTAAAGCCTATTTAGCAGAATAATGACACTAAAAACACTGACACTCACACAGAGATAGTGACGTTATTGTGCAGGTTGTGTTAAACATATGTGGGAATGTTTGCAAATGTTCCACAAATGAAAAAAACTAAACCCTTTTTTTTAAAGACAAATCTTGGCAATTGAAGCTAGTTAGTCTTTTCTAGCACCATGACTAAAGTCTTATCTTGTAATAATGCACGTTAATGCTTTATTTTATGGGTCATTAATTCCATTATAGTTTACATAGGGTTTTTTTTCATGGAAACTTTCTAGGAAGTAATGAACTTAACAAAACTAAAATACCATTTTAAAAACAATGCCTCTATATTCCCTGTAATTAGTACCAAATAACATAATTCTTACCAAGAAATGATTAGGTAATCATGAACGTGCTAAGAAATTTCATGAATTTGGTTCCTGGCTATTTAAAAGAAATGCTAGATGGCTCATCAGCCATTATGTGTTGTGTTTGTGTCCCAGGGACATGCATGAATGAGCGGAAACAGTGAGCTGCTAATTAGCTCTTTTGTACCATGAATAACACATTTAATGTAGATTTGTCTGATTAAAAGTCAAAGTTTGTGTTGGCCATGCAAAAAATACAATTCAACCACTACTTTACTTTTCATTACAGTGTAATTGCAGTACTACTGCATGTGTCTATTTCAGGCTAAATATCAGTGAGTGTTTCACGCTCGGTGATGTCACCACTGTCAATATGACCATGGTCAAAGGAGGCGTGTCCTACAATGTCATCCCACCTGAAATGGACGTCAGCTTTGACCTAAGAATACCACCAACAGTGAATCTACAGGTGTGTGAGTGTGCGCGTCTGTGTTTGTCTGCGTGATGTTCTCATATAGTCATGCAGACATCTGATCTAAGTGCCGATGTGTCGGTGTGAAAAACTACCTCCAGCTCAGCACTAAACCTCTAAATGATTATTATCTTGCCAGGAGTTTGAAAGACAGATCAAAACGTGGTGTAAAGAAGCAGGAGAAGATGTCACTTATGAATTTGCTCAGGTCAGTGTGCGTACACTCTCACTACTACAGTTCTCCGTTATAAAAGTGCCGTTGGTTTGTTTGTTGGTGTTGTCTGATAGGTTAAATTAGCTGCCATCTCTTGCAGAAACATATGAACCAGAATATGACTTCGACGGAGGAGAATGATCCTTGGTGGAGCGCCTTCAGTGCAGCCTGCAAGGCAATGTGAGTACACTGTCCACACTGCAGTGTGTGTGTGTGTGTGTGTGTGTTAAACATTTTCTTTTGCATGTAAGAGTGCAGATGCAGAGGCGAATCCAAGGCAGTCAGGTGTCAGAAGCTGTGTCAAGAAATAACAAATATCATTCTCTGTTGATACTAGCCACTAAATAAAAGCAAAAAAAGCTTTAACCTATTTTTAACCCACATTTATGGCTCCATCTACATCTACACCTACCATTGTATCTAACTCAACACATTCGTAATGAGTTTAGGTTTAAATATCCTCAGTCAGTGTGTGTATGCATTTACTGTTAAGCTTGGCTGAATACAGTTACTGTCTGAACAACAGAAACTGTTTCCAGAACAGACGGGCGATCCAATACTCAAGAATAAAATCTGTATCTACTGTTTTAGTGGATCATGAAATAAGGATTTTTGTGTCTTCTATTTTTGCTCACACAACCCTTTTAATGCATTCGTTTGAGATTTCACACCTTAGCTGAAAACATTCACACAGCTCCTACAGTCCTCTTCTCGTGTTTAGAAAGAGCTGCATTGTCTGTCCTGTCCTATAGTTACTTACCTCAGCATGTGAGGAAGTGCTGCTTAATTTATTTACTACATATTTTATATATATATATAGGAACACTGTACTGAACACCGACTGTAGCACTTTATCCACTGTACTGTAGATGACCAAACACAAAGGTATTATAAATCTATCCTTTTATCTTGAAAACTAAGCCTCATGTCAATATCTCCACTGTAGGAATGTGACTCTGGAAAAGGAGATATTTCCAGCTGCCACAGATAGCCGTTTTATCCGAGCTGTGAGTATAAGAATTGGGTATGATAGCAGGGGCAAAATGAGGGGGGGGAAAAGTCATCCAATTGACTTTTTTTATTCATGAATTTATCATAATATGTGACATTGTTGGCCAGTAACGGGTTTGTCTGTTGCATCTAGGTGGGAATCCCTGCTATCGGCTTTTCCCCAATGAACAGGACGCCAATCCTGCTGCACGATCACAACGAGTATCTGAATGAGCAAGTCTTCCTGAAAGGCATCAGCGTGTTCGAGAGGATCATCTCCGCTATTGCCAGTGTTCCTGCCGGTCCTGATGAGGCTTAGACAAGTCTTCATTCTTAATCCTCTCTAAAACACATTTTTCTGATGATCTGAATATTTAACTTGAAGAATTTGCGGACATGACCAAAGAATAATAACATGTATATCGTAAGCCAAAACTGAGCACTTAGCCTTTGGTACCGTGGACTTTTTGTTTTGTTTTTATTATTCTCAGGATAAAGGCGCAGTAAGCTTTGCATTCCTCAGTTCTGCTGCAGTTTTTAACTATGTCAGCAGTGTTGATTGAGTGTGCCTGTGTGTATGCAGTCTTAAAGATACATCACCTATTGTTTTTCCATTAGTATGGAAATATCTACTTACTAAAATGTGAAGATGACTTTGATAAACAATCAGACGTCACTCACTCATTGCCACTTTTCAAATTTAGCTTGATTTTAAAACTATAATTACTCAGATATCATTTTATTTAAGAAACTGGACACTTGAATAAATATATTTGTTCATTACTTTCATGGTCACATTTTCTTGTACACAAATTAGAACTCTGTGTCAGATGCCACACGGACGTGCAGTTTAAAACCAATGAATGAGCAGCAGGATTAGAGTGCTGTCACGGCGGAGGATGTCGGCAAAGGCATTTAACCTCCAGACAACCATCTGCTTCAAGGACAGGCGATCACATTTACCAAAACTACATCAATAAAAGTGTCCAAACATCATTGAAACTACTGAAACTCAGTGATCACAAAGTGCAGCCCAAAAAAAATGTATGGGTGTCATGATGTCCAGCTACACCACATACATTAAGCATTATGTAATGAATGCATTTTGTCTCCGCTGTAATCAATGCGCAAGCCAGGTAGTGCTGTAAAGAAAGCAAAGAGGCTGAATACAACATAAAATAAATAAAATAATTATCCACGCCACTGACATGGATCTGTGGATGGGAATGTCAGCTTGTGGGTCAACCTCTTTGGTCCTGACTGAAACACCTATTGTGTGGATTGTCATTAAATTTTGTACAGATAAGACTTTGAACATTATACCTGCTAAACCTCAGCATGTAAACACATCATTATGGGCATGTATTTAGTATAAAGAACCTCTGTGCCTAATTGTAGTTTCACAGATCTGCTCGCATGCCTGTAGTCTCTTTTTGTAATAGTCGAATATCTAATATTTAGAAGAATGATAACTTTATATTGTTAAAACCCAAATAATTGCACTTTGAAATCTATTTGAACCAGACAAAGTGTAAGGTCAATGTCACTTAACCCACCTAGCTTAAAGTGTGTCTTAACAAGAGGTTATTTACATTTATTTCAGAGAATTTTACTTAACTGATTCAGATATAATGAAGTATTGTTGTGAAATGGAGGCGCAATTGGGGAAATGAAAAATAAAAAATTTCTTTTGATATGTAATGCTGTTTACATGAGGTAAAGGTCGGTCTCATCCACAGTTCAGCTCCCTTTGGAGTTGTCGTCCAATTAACAGTGTAGGGCTCTCCAAGGGGGACTGGCAGGAAGACTGAGCAGTCGATAATTAGCCTTCTCTCTCCCCAGGACATGACAGCAGTATTAACACATGGGGCCGTCAGGGAGACGACTAAAAGCTGAACCCACATCCTTCCTCCCAGAGGCGGCAGAATAGGTGCAGTCATGAGCTGTTGAGCATCTGAATGCCTGGCTGTGGAAAAAAAACACAGGTGCTGTTAAACAGTTTATTACAGAAAAGGTCCGCATCTCACAGTTTCAGGAAAGCTTTTCATGAATTTGGTACAAGTACAAGCAATTCCACTGTAAAATTGCAGCCAGGCCCTTCTATTTTGAGGCCATAGTCATTTCCATGCGTTAATACCTATGGTTAATACTCAAGGAATGAAAATTCCTCGACGGTTGCTCCCTCTCACTCTTGTTCAGGGTTCATGAGGATCAGATTCAATAACTGACACAAGGTGAGGTGGGGATTCAGTCAGTCGGGAGATTTAACCTGACTCCTGAAGTCTCTCTACATGCACCCTGCTGTGGTCCTATCATCATCAATATTATAATATATATATATATGAGAAAAAGGACAATCTAATCCGTTACTCCACAAAATCAATTTCCGTTTCACTGCCCTGAGAGCAGTTTTATTTTACATCTTCAGCAGCACAGTGTTCAGTCTCAGTTCTCTGGTTTTTCTTGCTTCTAGGGAGAGCTGTTTATATTCACAGATGCTGCAGTGTATGAAGGAACACGCAGGCTGTAAATCCTCCAGCTGAGTGGCATTTCTCAGCACTGTGCTCTCCTGCCGTGCAACTACAACTGTCCTCTAGAGGTAATTACAGCCAAACCCTGTTGTAATATCCACAAGAGTCTCCCTTAAGTGGGACTTAAATGTCTGTCAGAGCTTGCAGATCTACGGTCACTATTATGGGGTCAATACATTTTGTTGTCCTGTACATTATTTTTCAGCATTGTTTTTCAAGCAGTTTAGAAAACAGGTTAATACCTCCAAGCAGGTGATATAAATTTAACTCTCATGTTGTTTTCTCATTCTTGTTTTAATCTTATACTCCATTTTCCTATATTTTCTTTTTTCTTTCTTTCAGTATGTGTGACATCATTTTGAGGTCTTACATTGCCAGACTTTTCTCCATTCTCTGTTTGTGCACGACCCTCAGAGCCACTATGTATTAAAGTAATATTACGGTAGTAAGCCAAAGATTTCACTCATATAATGGTATAAGTATTAAATATGCAACTGAATGTTGTCAGCCGCTTTCATCACTCCTGCATTTTCTGTAATCTGTATTCACTACTGATGTTTGATTACACAGGCTGGACATGATGCTCTAAAATGTAAAAATATGTAAATATAATAATGTGTAGGCAAAATGGGAAATAGATAACAGACCCTTTAGACACAGGTGTGACGAATGACAATCACAATTCCTCTGTTCCATTTAGGTGTAAAGCCAACCTGCACAACAGGAGTGCTGAGTCTCTGTCACACCTAAATGGAATGCAGCCGTTATTGATGTTATTAGTTACACCTGCGTTTCTCAATTCAAATTGTCTGCTGCGAGAAAAGTTTGTTGATGAAATGCATGCTTGAAAAGAGGAAGGGGGGGCAAAAATAAAAAACAACGATATCACAAGGAAGTGATATAAAGTAAAGAAAGAAATATACTCTTACATCGATTTGATATTTTTATCAATTGGTTTTGTTTTTTTATTTAGGCCATGTATCTAAATATGTTTCATTTGGCACTTTGAGGCAAATTTGTGACTGGCCTCTATAAATTAAATTGATTTGACTATTTTTCTACATTTTACAGTACATCTCCATACAGTCTTTAAATCCTTAAATTATTTAATACAATCTATCATGTATTTATATGTAAAAATGCAAAAAGGTGGTTGTGTGCACATCATATCCTATATTTATGCCAGATGCAGCATAACAGATTTATCTACACACTCTCAGAACCATACTGGACTGAAAAATAAGCAATGTACTCTGTATGCACTTACGTATTCACTCATACCTTTCACGTTAAATAGACTCATTTTCACATGTGGCGCTCCATCATGCTTTATGTGCTCATCTCTGGGGAGCGCATGGTGGAATTAACCTGTTAGGGAGCCCCAGGGGGTAAAATTTGCTGTTGACATTGTGTATGAACCTGTCACCTCCAAGGTCACAATGCCCATAGCAAACAATAGCAGCTTCAAAAGGCAAAGCAGACATTTTGACATGTCACTGCATGACAATGACTGCATGTCCCAGATCCACAACCCTGGTGTTACTCTGGCACACTTAAATAGAAAAGAGGCATCATTATTGTTTATGTTATATCTCTGTTTTCTCCAGCTTTGACAAGTCAAAATGTTTGCCATGAAAAACTGAGTAAACAGTGACCCAAAACCATACTAATTATTACTTCTATATGTATATATCACTAATTGTCATGATATGCTATCACCACTACCCCTCATTTATTACAATTTATTTCAGTTGAAGTGGCTCTTCCGTTTCATTTGTGCTACCTGGTTAGAGTATACTTTATTTTGACACTTTTCCAGTGTGAACACACTATATACTCACACCCTGCTTAGAATTAGTGTGCAGCACGAGATCTTATGGCAATTGTACATCAGCAGCGCAAATTACAATGAATCACATTAGTGGACATGAGACGTTTGGGGCCCTTGGAAGCGTATCGCTCCAGGGCAGTTGCCCACTTTCCTTATTTGGTTATCCAGACTTGGAATGTGAGAATATCCATAGATAATAGTTATTGATGAGAGCTGAAAAATAAAATGAGCTAATGAAAGGTAATTAGAAGAGTTAAATAAATTACATTTTCATTTATTTTATCAACGGATTGTTGGTAAAGGAAAAAAAAACCCGGAATGATTAGAGCTTAAAGGAAATTACAAAGCTTTGTAGTTATTTTTACACTTGATTTTAATTATTTAATTGTCAGTGTTATTTATCGATATTTTCAGTTATATTTTCTTCTGGTACTGGTAATTAGCTTTTGCTGCATTTTGTCAGTTTTGGGGCTTGGTTTGACCATCTGGTGATCCAGCCGTGTAAGTAATTAAATAGTTTTCTCATTTTGTTGCAATCAAGAATGCCAGTGTACCTTCAGATTGCTTCACTGTAAGTCTGCAGGACTAAACTGCTGCTGTTGGTTCATTTGAACCTGAATGTATTTCATTCAGAATGGAGATGAAGACAGCCTGTCTGACTCCTGTCTGACGCTTCCTGCAACAATAACACATACACACTGACACTCCCCTCCACATATACTGTAATAAACATAATACTGCAGGACATAATACATAATATTAAAACCATCATAAAAGCCTAAAATGCATGTTATATTTTCTTAAAGCAGAGCTACTCCGCTGTCAAACTGATTTGAATAGCTTTACTAATCCTATTGTATTTTAATGAAATGTGACTGTAGTCTCAGTATTTTGTATAGCCGTAATCAGAATGAAAAATAAACAAAAACATAATTGGATTTGGTTGGTAGATACTCAAAATGTTAACAAGAAATAATTAATTTACTTAAATAAGAATGTATTCCTGCATCCTTTGCACTCTGCTCACTGCGCTATTTGCCAATCTGTCTAAATTGTTTTTGTTTATCGTGTGTACATTCGTGTTCTCTATACTATAACCTGTGTTTGATTTTATTATTGTGTTATTGTATTATTGTATGAGCACATCGTGAGGATTGTACAATCCTGAGTCAAATTCCTTGTATGTGTACACATACCTGGCAATAAAACTGATTCTGATTCTGATTCTGAAACATTAACAGTCACCTCAAAAAGAGGCTCTGATCTCAATAGGTCCTTTCAATAACAATTGTATTTCATAAGTGCATCATATGATGGTTTTATGAACAATTTTAATCTGTAAAGTGGGTATATTATTTACATTACCAAAACCAGGTGACTTGTTCTGAACACGTGACTCTTGGGGGATGGAGGCCTGCAGTTCAGCATCATAAGTAGAACCAGCTTTATTGGCTGGCTATTATAGTATGTGTAGGCCTACACATTCAAGAAATGTGATTCCAGTTTTAAGTTGCTCTGAAAACACTTACACACAGTTCGGAGAACAATTTAAAGGGAAGACAGAAATAGACATAAAAACAACAAGCAACAAACAGGACTGGACTAAGATTAGCACAAATAAGCATAGAGCTGTACATAGAAATAGGGGGGAAATAGGTATAGGCTATATGATTATCCTATATATAGAAATTAACAATGACCAACAACATAGGCTACAGTGTTTCTGTAAATGGAACACATAATGCAAATGGGTACACACTGAATGCAAATACATGAATTGGGTCGCTACATAGCTAAGTTACAGTGCCTATATGCAGGATTTATATTTTGCAGTGATGGATGATGGTCTGTATTGTACAACTATAACTGTAAATCATTAATAATTTACAAGAAAGTGGATGTGTTAGTGTTGAACAGTTTCCTAATTGTGATGCGTTCAGGGACCCTTTAGTAGCCTACTTGCGTCCAGTTGGCCTACAGTACAGAGGATGAGCGGTCTGTCTTGTATAAAAACTAAATATATGCCGATGACAAATCCCACGTGGCTCTGCGGAGATAAATAAAGCCAAACTAGATTCTTCTGCTACTGCTCTGTTGCCTGGTGAGCGTGAACGCGCGCGGCTCCTCGAGCTGCTGTTGCTGATGAGAGAGAGAGAGCAGCCGTGAACGCGCCGGCCTGTGTGTGGTGTTGTCGGTGGTGGTGGTGTATGTGGGAGCAGGAGGACAGACTGCAGTGTCTTGGCAGCTGCATTAGTGCATCTCCCACCGTCCGCGATGTCTTCACGGCCAGTGCCAGCCTCCTCCGCGTCCACTTGACAACGCAAACCGACATGAACCTGTCAGGAAACCGAGCCGGACGTTCACACTAGCTCTCTTTATGCCCCCGGAGACAGTCAGGAGCGCTTCTTTCACGCACCGAAACCCCGTGACGAGAATTGTTAATGGAAAATGGCGATAGGCAAAAGGTCTTGCAGCATCGTCTGCTTGGTATCTATCCAGATTATCTTGATTTTCAGCGCATCGTGGCCTGGAGCAGCAGGGCTCACATTCCCCCAGCAGTACACGTAAGTAGCGGCTCCCCTGACTGAAAACATAGCGGGGCTCTGATAGGAGACAACTTTGGGCTTGTCCACTCAAGCTGTGGTGTCAGGAAGAGACTTCAGGCATCCTGTTTTATTTTTCTGCTGTTACATAATTTGACAGCGTTGGTGATTGCATCAATGTAAATGCTGGGTATTTAAAGCTCAGTGCTCTGTAAGGTGTAATCCACAGTATGACTGGGCATGCAAAGGAAAGCTATGCAGATCATTTACAGGGATATTTATATATGAACAATGACATTTCGCAAGACTTCATTCATGTTTTTTTAATTATCAAGTTGGCCTTTTTTATCAAGCAAAATGTCCATTATTGTGACAATTAAGCCTCTCCATTACCATATGATTATTATAGCCTTCATTTTTGAATTATCTGAAAACTGAAAGCTATAGATCTCTTTCCTCAAATCAGATGTCTGTTTATTTAATGTAAAATTACTCTTATTAATCAAAATGTTTTCTTTTTTTTTATTCACATCCACATTTTTTAAAGAGATGTTTCCATTGTGACACTTTTACTTCTAAGTATTGGCATCATAGGTATGGCTGTTCATGACTTTCATTAGTTAAAGCAGTCAGCGGCTCTGTGTTAGACAGGCAACATTAAGTCTGTGCAGTTGTTGTAAAACTGAAAAGAGCTTCTTTTTTTTCACCATTCCCCCCTACTGTTCTTGTGCTCCAGTACTAGATTTTTCCAGGCAGGCTTTCAAGTGAAGAGCAGAACATTTCTTTATTTGGTGAAACACAGTACAGTAACAGCTTCTAGTAGTGCTGCATGCTCAGTAGTCCATTGGTCTCTAGGACTTCCACGTTGCACAGAATAAGAAAGGAGTGGTTTTACTGTGAATTCCTGATGAAGGCGACGTTTTCTCTCTATTTTCATCGATACTGTGCTTAGTTGTTAATTCCCAACCTTTAACCCGTTACTGTTAAGTACAGCTGGCACTTAACTTGAGACTACAGTTATCTGGGCCCACCTCCAGGCTCTGCAATCAGGCTGCTCTGGAGGGAGGAACAAGCCAGATGGTCCACTCATCTTCGGGGCAAACAGTGAAGGCTTTCTGGCCAATCACAACTGGAGATCTGAGGTGTATTTACCAATTAGGAAAGGGGTCTATATATCAGGGAGGTGTGGGTGTTTGTATGTGTTTTATGATGAATTGGATTATTTCAAGTAGGGTATTGCTGCTGCTTTCTCCTCCTCCTTCTCCTCCTCCTCCTCCTTTCCGCTTATTTTTCTGCTGAGTGCTCTGAAACAGCTACATAGCCCTCTGCCCTGGGTCTCTTCATGTAAGCTAAATGAAGCAGAATCGCTACGCTGAAGAACAGCATCTCTTTCCAATTAAGAATTAATACTGCAGCAGTGACGATTTATTCCCCTTCGCCCTCTTCACCCTTTTTACTCCCACCCCTTCTGTCTTGACTCTTTCCTTCCGTTTGTCTTTGCCTTATGTTTCTTCAGATAGATAGATAGATAGATGGCAACCCTGACTTCAACATAATATGTACTACTAATTTGCTCTCCAAGAACATTATGGAGGAAATGTAAGTGCAGCCTGGATAACATTTACTGGCAATGTTTTTTTCCTGATCCAGGAAGTGTGACATCCTTATACTTCGCAAAGCAGGACTTTGATACTGACAGTTGGAATTTTCATTCTGTTTTCCTGATGTTTGTAGGTTTAGAGTAGCAAAACAGTTGGTTAAGATTAGGGAAACATGACATTTCGATTAATCGAAAGCGATTAAGCAATTAATCTGTATTTTTTTTTTCATTTAATGGATTAATCGAGTGGAAAATGTGGAAAGATTTATTTATTGAACTAGATAAAATGTAATTGTTTGTGGAGTTTTAACAGGGAAGGAAAGGAAAATGGTGATGCTCACTGAGCATGTTATGCTCTCAAGTCCACTGTCAATGGAGAGGGAGAGCCTTGTGTCTTTTGTGTCTCTGCGTTTGATAAACTTGTAGTATTTTACAGTAGTAACGTCACAGTAATTTGTGAGAAACACATATGACACCCTGTTGATGTTCTAGATAATGTTTAAATTGGTTAGTTTTGACTTCCAAAGGGAGACATGAAAGGAAATATTTGAGAACCACAAAAAAAGTTAAATGAAGCTCAGTGGGAACAATTCAAATGGCTTATTTTGTTCGACCAACAGTTCAAAACCCAAATATAATCTATTTACAGGGATCTAAAACAAGAGCAGCAAATCCTCACATTTTGGAACATTTGCTTCATGAATAACTAATATTGTTGTCTGCTGCCGATCAGTTTTCTGTTGATCGACTAATCGTTTCAGCATTACTTGTTTTTTGGTTAAATATTTAAAAAGCCTGAGCCAAGTGCTTTGAGTTGCCTAAATATGACCATAAAATGTTCAACACGCTTTAGTTGTGTGAAAATAAATGAAATGTCCAGACACTTGGTTAAAACACGTGTTGAGGAGGGCAGAGTCCATAACATTCGTTTGTGTTGTCAATAATTCAATACCAAGATCAACAGTCAACAGCGATGCTATCGGCTCCATGACACTGAACAGAGCTGTATTGAGTTAAATGCTAACGTCAGTATGTTAACGTGCTCAAAATGACCATGCTAACAAGCTGATGTTTAGTAGGGAATATGTTTCTCATGTTTACCATGTTGGCTTAGTCTTCTAAAACGCTAACTTCGCCAAGTAGCACTAACCACAAAGTGATGCTGAGACTGATGGGAATGTCAGTACAGGTATTTAGTCATAAACCAAAGTATTGGACAAATAAAAATGTTATTACTGTTGATCCTGGGAGGGACGTGAATGTCTGAACCAAAATCATGATAATCCGTCCAACATTTAATTTGAACCTCACAATGGTCCTAGAGGAAAAGTCAGGGCATCACCAAAGTAACTGGATTTTATCCACTGGGGAACATGAGTGTCTGTACAAAATTTTGTGCCAATCCATCCATTAGTTGTTGAGATATTTCATGTTTCAGCCAGCATTATTTTTCCTACAAAAGATATTGCAAATGAGTTGGATATGAGCATAATTTTTAGGAGACTATGATGCTAGATGGAGGAATGGCTTGATACCGTACGTAAGATTGATACCGTAGATAGATATTGCACATACATATATGCATATAGCTGTAAATGCTCCACCTATAGCTCTGCTGCTCCACCCTTGCAATCTCCCGCTCTCTCTGCTGTAAGTGAATATGGGTCACATCACGTAGCACTTCGTCCCAAGGGTGTGTGAGCATTGCAGGTAACAGAGTAGAGGCACTGTGCTGTTCAGCCGCCTCTTAGCAGCAGCAGAGTTTCTGACGCACCGCAGGGCTCGAGAGGAGACGAAATGGAACACGCAGTAAAAAACTTAGGATTGTGCTTCAGCTGCACTGACTCACATGGTTAAAGCTGCTCTGCTGTTCTGTTGGGCTACAGTCATGTAACAAACCTGATTTATTCACACAGTAGGTTTTTTACAACACTTAACAATGGCAGTTTAAATTAATTTGTGATGCAGCAAGCTTGTTGACACCAGTCTTTTAAATATGCGGAGTGACACTATTGATTTTAGAAAAAAATCTTTTGTTTATTCGCTTTATCAATTAATGGGAAATTATAGTACATACTAATGTATCATTTACGTTAAACATCCTATTTGACCTATTTCAAGGATTAAAGGTGACATTGGATTTTGGTGGATGAAGTTTCTTTATAGAGTAAGAGACTGAATTCATTAAAGTGGGCTAGTTGAACCAACAAGGAGTGAGTTCTATAAATGAAGGCTCCTTTACACTGTGCATTTTTGGGCAATCCCCGACTAAAGTTGACAATTATGATTGAAACACACTGGAATCTTTTGTTGTCAGTCCAAAACGAAAATCCGACATGACACAGCACTGACGTCCACTCTTGACCGATTTTGGAAACCAAAGACAGCCTGTGTCAAAATTGTGATAATGTCAGAAATGTATGACCAAATACTCAGAATGTAACTGATGCTATGAACCATACCTACAAACCAACAAATCAGAACATGCCATAAAATGATGCAGAATAGACGGACCAATATAACAATGTAAGCAATTTTAAAACATGAGCGCAGAGCAGATGGATATTGTGAGTTGATGACACATCTACTACATATATTTTATGAATAATGTATATCGTAGCGCATTAATCGCATTTGACATGCCTGAAAATTGGTATTCAGTCTGATGCAGATTGTGACAAATATTTTATGAGAACCATCTTGTACAGTGTGACATGCGTGAACCTTCAAGAATGCTGTTATGCTGCACAGTGTAAAGGGAGTTTAAAAAAGCAAGAGAAGCATACGTCCATTTACAAACAGAAACATTGATTCGACTTACATATTTAGATTGATCATTAAACATACATCTGAAAGTATAACGAGATTAGAGAGGGACAGAATGTAAAGTCAGACATACTTAAGACCTGTTAAGTTAATAAGTTCAGCTTATTTTTATGTTGGGTATTTTATTTCTGCCAAACAAATGAGAACTGTGTGAGAATCTAAAGAGGCAGACTCCATTGTTCTGTTCAATGTTTTATATTTGTAAATGTGTCTCTACAGCAAGAAAGAACTGTTCAGTGATCGTGTTCATAAACATTTTAATTTCATCAGCCATGGTGGTCTTGGTTTCAGGAGTTGGTTTGCAGTCATCAAATAAATACATTGGCCTATGATTAATTGGTTTAAAAAAATGAACCCTAATGAAAACTGGAATATGTGTTTCTCAAAAAATACATGTTTTTCTGATCGTTGCTACCCTAGTTGTCTTCTTTTTTTTGTGGCGCACACTCTGTATTCTGCCTCTGCCTCGACTGCCTCAAGCTGAAAATAATTTCACTTTTAAATAGTGCCGCGCTTGTCGAAGACACTTTGTCAGGCATTCAATCATATCTTAAATGGGCCTTTAGAGTGATAGTCTTGATGTTGCTGGAGTTGCTGAACCAAGTAGCTTACATCTTAGTTTTCGACACCATCCCTTTAACTTGGCACTTTTCTGCAACCCAGAAAAAACATTTCTATCAGAAAAAATGGAGTGTGGAAATATAGATGATATATTGTACTGAGGGTTGTCTATTCATCATCAGGCCTAAAAGTCTTTCACACGCACTTTGCTCATGATTTTTATTTTTTTTACCTTTATTTTACCAGGAAGTCTCATTGAGATCAAAATTCTCTTTTATAAGAAATCCAAAAAGTGGGGAAGGAAATAATATTCAAATATAGGTTCCTCATTGTGAAAAGTGTCTGTGGATCTGGACAGTTGAATCAAGATTTGTGGCTCGTCCAACACTAGAAACAAGCCCTACAAGACTTTAATCTGCAATGTTGTCTCGTAACTCTGCTGGGAGCAGTCTCACTGACAATGAATCAACTCTCTGGGCACTTGCAAGATCCGGGATTTCCTGGGCATTAAGATTTATTTCCTGGTTCAAACTAATTTAGGTAGAAAACTCAAATAAATGTTTTGCCTGCACAAAGTCCTCTATAATCCATTTGACCAGGCTGAACAGCAGGATCACATGTTCAGCCAGCAAGTGAAGATTGAACCAGTAAAGTGAGACACTTGAACAGAGGCAGATGTGAATCTTTATTGAGACTGCATTGATGCAGTGATCCTCAGGGTCAGGGATAGTGTGGCAATGTCTGGACATTTACTACAGTCTTTGGTCTTTTAAAGCATTTTTTTAATCTTAAGTAATTCTGTTCCCTGTGGCTACAATTTCAACATAATATTGATGCACTGAATATGACTGAAGACACTAGTTCTTATACTGCAGGATGCCGCTTGTGTTCTGAGTAGGATTGTGCGTGATGCTTTGAAATTGCAGTATGGATCAGATGCTGTTTATCACTGAGAATACATTTTGGAAGAAGACACACAGCACATACTGTATATGTTGTGTTGCTGACTCTGTGTACTGAGCGCTTACTTTCCATGCTGTACCAGAAACAAATTCAGCCGACTCGTGGGGTCATTAAAGTGAAGTTTAAGGTTAATTACAATGAAAGGTTCTTAGTCAAATGATCAGAGAAGATGGTTTATACTGGTCATCTGACTGATGAACTCCACTAATTTACTGCTTCAGTGTGTAAGAATTTATGTGATTCAGGAGTTTAAAACGTAAAAACCAGAATATCAGGTAGTAACAGTTCTGACGTCATATCAAAGACGTCTATGTATTGTATGTATTAGCATGCTAACCAGCTAGCCCAGGCCTGTCTTGTCTCTTAATACCACTTTGTACTTAAAGAGATTAGATAGTCCCATAGTATGGCTAGTATAGCCCTTTCCACTGTCAACAATCACCAGCTCTGGTTTGCTTGAACTAAACCCTTAATTCACTGGCTGAGGTGTAAAAATATCCTTGCTCTGCGTATTGCCACTTTCTCTCTGATGCCTGACCTCCATCTCGCTCCTCTCCTGCTTGAAGCCTCTCCTATCCCCGCATGAGTCCGCCGTGTCTTTGGAGCCCCCATAGTCAATCCTGGTTGGAGCCACTGTAAATGTCATCCCTGTTGTCAAACTGGCCTTTGTCGGTCTCGGAGACTGTGTATGGTCCCGGTTCCATTGCCCGCTCGGCTTGCTCCGTTTCTGGTGCCCACTCTGGCCAACTGAGCCAACTGAACTAGCTAACGGCAGTTAGCAGCTATGATCTGATATGTGAAATGCTGCACCATATTTTAGTGGTGTATGAATTCGACCGGTGGAAAGTATTCATAATTCTTACACATTGCACCTTTAAATTCATAAAGGAACCAACCCTGTTAACTCAAAATACTCCACACAGATGTTGTAATCTGTGAAAACTAAACAATAATGCTGCCTTGCCATGGTGAGTCAAACCTGAAACCTTGTCAAACTTTTTGTGATTGGTTGGCTCACAAAAAAAGTGGTTAGCATTACATGGTCTCTAAAAAGTTAAGTGACTCTTGCATTAGAGCGCTGCATTCTGCCTAAAGACTGCAGGTGCAATTTCCTTAGAAAACAACTGCTATACTTCAAACTTACAGCCACCATTTACTTTACTCTTAATGAGCAGTACTGCTCAGCCTGTGACAAACAGTTGTATGTCTTCTGTGGTTCTGAAGGAAGCTGAGACCTTGATAGTGATGCCCTAAGAACGCTTTAAGAATATGAAATAAATAAATTATATAGTATGAACATGCCATATATCAGCTGCAATGGATACCTGAAAAGTTTTGACAGGAAACAATGAGTTTGCTTTACTAAATGTTTTTATCTGTAAAAATACAGTGATTCAGTGCACAGAAACACGTTAACAAACTTGTTCGTGTTACTTCTTTGAGCTGGACCATATTGTAATGAGACTCAGTACAAGCCTCCCGTCTGTTGTTTGCTGTCTCCCTTTGCCATCTGACCTCTGTCTGTGTTTAACCAGTCTTTATTTAGAGAAATACATGGCTACACAGTGACCATGTCAGGCGTAGCAATGTGTATCCCTCCCCAGCTCCACCCTCTTGTCCAAATATGGTCAATTCTGGTTCCAAAAAGCCAAGATGGCGTCAGCCAAAATGTCAAACTCGGTAGTTGGTTGGAGGGTTAATGCTAGTAGTCAGGTAAACCTTTTATCAGCATTCTCTTCTTACCTTTAATTAAAAATCTGTGTTGGTGCTGGCAGTGCTCATCGTCAGAGTCAATGGTTGTTGTTGTCAATATCATGATAAATGGTCTGTACTTGTAAAACGCCTTTCAAGTCTTCCGACCACTCAAAGTGCTTTTACACTATGTCACATTCACACAGTTTCAGATGCAAGTGGATTAGCCCAGTTTGGGGACTAAACAAATACAACGCATGTTGTTTATTTTCTAATGTGCTTTTATTTTATTTTTTCAAAAACATTTAATATTGCTGAGACAATTAATTTATTGGAAATGACTTCACATCAGACAGACATCGCAGCTCGAAGCCATATTTATGACAACGAGAGAGAGAGAGTTGCTGCTCATCACAAATATTGATTTAACTGTCTTGAAAAGCAATTTATGTACTATAATAGTGTTGTAGTAAATTTTATGCTTTTGTTTGCTTTGGAAATATCCTTTCACAGAATTATGATGATGGGTCAACATAGCTGATTACGTAGGGTTACTAACATTTCAAGGTTTCCTCTCAACCTCAGAACTGTTGTCTAAGCTTCTTTTCTATTCCTGTTATCATTCAATACAAGTTGCATATAATCACAAAATGGTGAATTGGTGTAATCAGTGGTAATAAGACACATGGAATGGTATCAAAGTAGTGCTCAAATCTGAGTTGTTTTCCAAAGGTGTGAAGTCCTCAGACATGAGAACACACAGTTTGGAAGCACATTTTTTATATTTAGTACACGTTGAAGCAATATTTATTTATTCTGATAAGAGTCAAAAGAAGTAATCCTCAAATTTTGAGAGTACATTTGTCTTTTTGAAGATATTGTGTCTTAGTTTGTGTTAATCCATGCATGGGTGACACTTATTTTTGTTGGAAACTCACTACTTACTTCTTTGAAATAGACACAAACACACACATACACACACACATATCTTTTTCATTTGTTTGTGTTGTGTGACAGTCAGCCTGTGATGTCTATCCATAGGATAATGCACTGGGCCAGGCGTATCGAGCAGGAGATTGACAGAGTCTTTCAGCACATCACTGGAGCTCAGCAGTTGAAAGGGGTGAGTGTGTAGCTCTCTTTTTATAGTATACAGGTCTGCTGCCTAGACACCACATATTGAGGACTATATGATAATACTTTTGTGTATATGTATAAATATGTCAGTAAGCATGTGAAGCTGCTGCTTTACTTGCACTGTTATTTTGCACATAATATACTGGATTGCTGCTAATGTTTCTGCTAACTGACCGCACTGCCTATAAGTCACAACTCTACACACATACATGGACGTATGCTCAGTCTCACATCCAGAGACATCCAAGACTGCCATCTGTGTATGCACACAATACGCACAAAATTTTCCATCCCTAGTTATACTTTATATTTATAGTTGATATATTTGTATTTCATGTTTGTACTTTATATTCAATTCCTCATATGTAGCTTGGTACAGCACACTGAATCTCGTTGTACATGTACAATGACAATAAAGGATTTATATGATCATAGTGCTGCAGAAACTCAATAAGAAATGCAGAGAGGTCAGTGTGAAAGAAAGCTGTAAATCCATTAAGTTTAAGCGCTAAAGCTAAGTAGGTGCATAACAACAACAAAACAATTACAGTCTGCCTTTCAGAAACCCCTCTCTTTGATATTTCTGGTACTCCTTGCAGAGCAGCCAATAACACAACGATTTTGTTCTCCCTGGACAGACATAAAACTCTTAATAGCTTTTATATTCATCCGTTTCCAGAATGTATGCTCTGTTTTTTAGACGTCGTAGCCAAATTCTGCTGGCACTTTGTGTATTGTTTGCAGTAATGATCAATCTTGCACACATTGTACGATTCCTACAAAGCGAAAGAGATGCCTGAACACATGCCTACAGTGGTTAGAATAGAATAAATGTAACATTATGTTTCATGAAGTCATGAGCTTAATAACACCTACATCTGTGAATACTGATTTATTTAATAAGCTCATCGTGTAATACCTGTGTCGGTTGTTACTAGGGGAACAGTTCGCTTTCATGAACTGTTTTATAACTTTGATGCATTTTCACATTACTGAATGAAGGTGATCTGATGAATGGCTCTCTGAAAAAGAATAATGTTGGGGGATATCTATGTTTTGCTTGTTGTCACCATGAAAAGACCAAAACTAACATTTTGTTGTCCATCTCCAAATCCACATTTTCATTTAGAAAAAAATATTTGCAGCTCGGTGCTGTAGTTGTTAGCAAACATTACATAAACAGGAGTAAATAGTGCTTTTGTGGTGTTTCAGTTTTCAACCACAGATTTAGTGTGCTAGCAAGTATTTATGGGCTGTTATCTTTGTGAGATTGAGACAAAATAAATTAGCCTTTATTGTTTGCTGTTATCTGGCATTTACAGACAAACCTATTTGTTGATTTATCAGAAAATAATCTGCATATTAATTGAATTTAAACAAATTGTTGGTCGCAGCCCTAAAATCAGTTTGAAACTGAACTAAACTGTATTGATCTTTGTGAAAGACCAGGCCTGTAATGTAAAACAGGACCAAAGATCATCTGTAGGGGGCAAGAGAGCCCTGCTCTGTGAAGACGTGTGGGGGCGTTTCCTCAGCAGAGAGCAGTGGCACGTGTCCTCTCTGTTTGTGTCACAGCAGAGCAGATGGTCAGCCTGCAGCCTGCAGTAAAGCCTTGATGTGAGGCTCACTCGTTCATTCAATCCTCATTAATCCCTCCGTGCTTCTGAAACACTGGATGTGTTAAATAAATTGTTCTCTGCTGAAAGAGCTCAGTGCAATCTTCTCTTGTTGCTTGTAATTTAAATGAAACGCCATTTTCAATTCCTCAACCAATATAAAAAGCTATTTTTACATTTGCAGATTCTTTTGATGGCCTCGTGATATAGCCCTGCTCCACATCAGTCTTTTTAATCACTAAAACTGCTGCAAGCATATCTAATAAAAAAAGGCTTAATATTTGCTTGAGAAATTTAAATTTTATGGAGTTTGTGTGTCCTATTTCATGGTCCCATCTAATTTTTGTGAAAAGTAGCACATTTTGTTAACCGTTTTATCTACAGCGTCAGACGTCAGTAGTACATCTTGATTCTGAATGTATTCTACACAGGACCTAGTTCTTCTCAGACAGAACACAGTTCAGAGAAACACCCTGTTCATTACTGCATGTTCCCATCTGTGCGGCGCGGGCCAATAAAGCATCTGGTCAGTACACAACTTGAAGTTCATTTTGTGAAGTCCATTTGCAGGAAGAGGGCTGTCATACAGTATGTATGCAGGTTTGCCAAATGTATTCATCCAGGTCACTGCCTCCCCTCCTGTCTTGTCTTCATCATCTCTCTAACATCTTTCCTCTTGAGGTAGAGAGTCTGATGGCCTAAAACCCACCAGACAGCAAGCTTAGCAAGATACTATATGCGTCCTGTCCCCTGCATATCTGATGATGAACCTCTCAAACTCCCAGTCACCATGGTTTCTGTGTGTAATAATTACCGCTGAAGACAGTGTTTGTGCAGCTAGATATTGCAGGTAAAATCAAGCATATAATAAAATGTGTTATTCGTTTTGAATGTGGGCCCCCTGCGTACTAAAGCCATGAAAGTTCCTCTTTGTGCTCCTGTTTATGAATGTGGACCCAGGAAAGCTTTCTCTGCACCATCCAATCTTGTTTAGTGGAGCCATTAGCAACAACAGAGTCTGACAAAAGTGACATTTTATGTTTGTGTGAGCCTGCACTGGCTTTGCACCTGCAGGGAAACAGTGTCCTGAAAGTTTGACTAGTAACCAACAAAATAACCAGGTTTTTAATGCATCAATTAAATGTAAAAATATGTACAGTTAATCTTAAATATCGGAAGATTAAACAGAGCAGCTTAATGTACAGTACAATACTTGAAATGATGTAATGATGTGAAATCTTTACATGGGGATAAAAAAAGTACAAGAGGGAAACTATCAACAATCTGTTTCTACATGTCAGTGCAACAACTGATTATCATTGCACCCAGTAATTATTTTACCACTGCAATGTTGTTTATGCAGTTGTAATGTTATTTGTTCTAAGTTTTAAAATAGAAATGGGTTTCAAAAAGTGACTTGACATTAGCTCATGCAGTTAAAATCTGTCTGCACCCTTTCCCAGATGTCTCCCGATGACCCACAGCTTTCTGTGGTGTGAGACATAAGGAATACTTTGAGAGGATGTTGAAAGGCCACGTTCAGGTCCTCTGAAGTTAACTGTGATGTCTTTCCATGTGTGGTCTAATTGAACTTGAGGTCCTCTGAGGAAGAGCATTAAAACAAAGGGCAAACAGTTATTTTGCCTTGTCACAGAGTGTATCAAGCAGTAGAGTGTGACTCTGCTCTATACATTAAAATAGATGTTGTCGTTTGTGGCTTAAATAGACTAAGCTTCCCATGTATTTCGGACATATTTGTCATCCGAGTGAAAAACATCAATCTTTTACTCGACTGGAAATAACTCATAATCATCCTGTAAGTCTTTATTAGACAGAGTCACATTTTGTCTGTGTTGTTATTTTGTTGTTAGAGGCCGCAGTTAACAGCTTTAGGTGAGTGTATTTTCACACCAAGTTAAATAACATGTAGCAGTCACAGGATTGTGTGGACAAATTGTTCTTTTCAAAACCATCCTGTAATCCATCCATGTAAAAGATTAAGTATATAACCTTAACGTAGGCTAGACAATATATGCCACATGATGAATTTTTGTATGAAATTCCAGTATTGTGATTCTCCAGTGAATACTTCTTTCAAAGTAAACAGACATTGTGTGCAAGTAGATTACATGGAAAGACACACAAACACAAAAAGTGATGCTTCACCTGTGTCCTCAATATTAAAATATAAAAAGATTTGCTTTTGCAAATTCATGAGCTTTGAATTACAAAGTTCTAACTGCTCGGTCCGAGAAACTTCTCAGATTGTCTGAAATGAGCAGTGAGCTCAGGCAGTAACAGGTTTTACGACCCAATAGCGTACACTATCACACAACAGGAAGAGATAACGAATTAATTAAACAAAACCAATGTGAGTTACAGTGTCCAAGAGGCAGTCTTAGGTAGGGAAACAAGTCAAAATTAAAGCTACAAGCAGCGTTGGGCGTGAGGCGGCCATATTCTGGAGCTCTGCTGGTGCGGCTGTGAATTTGCTACGCGCTTCGGACGCTGCACGAAGGTGTTATACTCACTTCCTGTGTCCCCTTTGTGGCGCTACATAGTACTTGGCGCTATGAATATAAATGAATATTGGCGTGTTCGGGGCGGGACAGTTATCAAGCATGTAAATTTTTGTGCAGATGTGAGCATGTACACTGAAGTTACAACAACTTCCTGTGTCATGGCAAAGAGTTGATCTTTTAATGCTCATTTTTGTATATCGCCAAAAATGAGCATAAAATCCGAAATGGCCGACTTCCTGTTGGGTTTAGGTTATGGCTCCAAGAGGCTTTTTTGTGCGTCTGGACAAGATACACGTACCACAGAAAATTCGTACACATAGGTGAAACGTGCGGCGGGGGCTGCTTCGTTAATCAGAATCAGTTTTATTGCCAGGTATGTGTACACATACGAGGAATTTGACTCAGGATTATACTTATACAATAATAAAAATAATAATATAATAATAAAATAAAATCAGACACAAACTACAGAGTAGACAACACTAACATACACAATATGAACAAAACAGTATAGACATATTGACAAATAGTGCAGTAATCAGAGAGTAATCAAAGGATGCAAGAGTAAACTATTCTCATTATGTACACTTCCTGTTGCCAGCAGGTGGCGCTATGACTGTGGTGAATGTCGGCATGTACATGTGCTCAGGGCGGGACTCTCATCCTACATGTACAGTTTGCTGCAGATGTGAGCATGTACACTGAAGTTACAACAACTTCCTGTGTCATGGCAAAGAGTTGATCTTTGAGGCCACGCCATGGACACGCCCATTGACGAAAACTCACAGATATCACAACTTTTCATCGTCAATGCCTTTAGAAGGCACAGCAGAAATTTATGGAAATTATTATGGAAATTTATGTTAAGTATGGAGTGCAACGTTTGAGTTTTCGAGTATGTTTAGGCCCCCAAAATTGAGCTTACTTTGCAGAAAAAAGAAAATCTCTTCAGTTTCAATAGGGACCTCACACGGTTTGTGCTCGGGCCCTAATGATCATTGACCATTACCAAAATAAAACAGGAACAAGCAGACACACAGACAAAAACAAAACATACGGGCCAGATCCTGACACAACATCTGTTTCCTGAAATGTTTCTCTATTTTTTATAAAACACACTGACTTGAAAAGAATTTTTTCCCCCAAACATCATGTAACACCACGCAGATACCGTGCATAACAATCAACTGCTCTAATGGTAACACAGATTTATGTTAAGTCAGCTATGTCAAATGTTACAAATTGTCAATAGCGAGACATTATGTCAGCAGAAACCGACTTAATAGAATGACTGTGCAGCCATTATTGCACGTATGTTTTTAACGTTGTCCATTAAAAATTTACAGATATACAATGAAGAGAGACGACATTTTAAGCTGCTGAAGAATCAGCCACGGAAGATTGTGGAGAAGGTGGCCTCAGACATTGAGAAACTCCTGGCTAAGAAGCGCAAAGCACTCAATGTGAGTATATGTTTCTGACTAAAGTTAAAAAAAAAAAAAAAATCTATTACTTATTTCTTCTTTTGTTAAAAATGTTCAAAATTCTTGTAAGAGACACCTCAGTGTTGAATGAGAATTTAATTTCTTTGGGAACACAAAGATGAATTTGCTGACAAAGCAAACATTTCTTTCAACACATAGCCTAAGTATTTAAAAATAACTTTCCAACTGTAAAAAGGTTCCTGACACATTGTGAACACCTTGTGTGGTACAAAATGCAGGGCTACATTATTTTCAAACACCAGTAAACCTGCCGTGTTTCACAGTGTTCTTTCCCTACCCCTTGTTTATAAACATGTCATTGTACTCCTCTAACATGTTTTTCTGTTTTAAACATTTAGAAGTTAGCCAGTGAAGCAGAGCGGCTCCAGCGAGAGCATCTATGGCAAGATGGAATCAAGGTAAAGCTTGAAATCTGAAATAACATGATATTTGCAGTTCAAATAATACAATTATAAGATGTAATCTGAGCGACTGTCACAGTTAATATTTCATGTACTTTAGTCAGCATTATTGAGAGCCTTTTACAGCACAATACTGTATACTATTATTGAATCCCCTTTTTTATTGCCTTTTTTCATTAATCAAACCCAAAACTTCCATTTGTCTGTTTTGTTTTTGTGAATCTTTTTATAAATGATAATGCCTAGACAGGTTGTGCCTTGTGTTGCCACATTATTCTGTCATTGCAGTCTTTAGTTGTGGGCTGTCTGTGACACTATTTAAGGGCTCTGTTTTCCTGCAGGCACAAGGTCAGTGCAAATGAAGTTTTATGCAGTTTTTCATGGGAACAAGTCTATTTTTTTTGCATCCCAGACTGGAAAGCTTTTTACTCAGATTCAAAGTTTAACAGTAAAATAATCTGGAGTAACATGGCTAATGAGTCCTGAAATCCAACATATGAACAAATGAAACTGTCAACACACACACATTACACACATTAAAGACTCAAGATGATTACGCGTTTACCATTTTGCCATTTCCAATCCAGTTTAAAAATCTTGACAGTTGTGACTTATCAGAAAAACATATCGCTATCAGTGACACCACAACATCATCCAGTGAACACATCTTAAAACAAGTTGAGGTGTTTTTTTTTTGTTTTGTTTGTTTCCGGAGTCCTGCTATGGTCCAATTCGCAAACCTGTACCTGCCGTGCACTGGAAAAAACATATACCGATCTGTAACCTGCAGTTGTGTATAAGTCAATTCCGTGACCCTAGACTCAACCTGTTAATATAAGATCTGACCTGACCTATTAAATATAGATGCAGATACTGCTGGGCAGAGAAGGCAAACGTTTGGGGTGCAGGATACGGTCAGGGTGCCCAATGGCAAGAAGTTATAAATGTTATGGGTTTGCAGTGTGTGTGAGCAAGGTTGAGGACCCAAACGCAGGACACAAGAGCTGAGCACGTTCAGTTCAATATTTAATTAACTGAAGGCGTACTCACAACAGTGGCAGATATAACAAGTCCAACAAAAACCAGGTTATCCATTTAGAACTAAAAATCCATAAGAAGGTAGGGAGCAGGAGCAACGCAAACACACAGGAGACTAACCACAATGATCCAACACAGACTGAACAGAACACAGGCATTTAGTAGTGAGGCAAATGAGCGGGGGAACATAAAACAGGTGGATCACATCAAGGAGAACAGAACAGGAAGCAAAGCTAGACAAGAACACCAGGCACAGAAGTATACAAAATAAAACAGGAAGTAAAGTGCACGGGAACACACCAGGACAGATCTACCAAAGTAAAACTCAAAATATGGAAAGACTGCAAAATCAGGGCATGGACTGAGACCGGATCAAACAGGAGACAGGACTACACTAAAACATGGAGACATAGGACTAAGGACTCGAACAGGTAAAAAAACATGCAGATAAACATAGAATAAACTAAGCTACAAAACCCTTAACAAGACAAGATCAAATAATGAAACACACAGACCAGGAATAACATTAACAAGAACTAAAGCACAGAATTAAGAACTGAGGCAAGGAACTAAAATACAGGACTTAGACCTAAGATAAGAGACAAGACATAAATAACTAGGGACAAGGAATGAGAGAAACAGAGGCAGATAGAAAGACACATGAAACAATGGCAAAAACCAGAAACACACAGGGAAAAAATACAACTCAAACATAACCCAAAACTAAACTCATAACAATAAATTCATAATAAAAATAAATAATAACACTGAGTGATTGCGGAGGAGGAAACACCCTCCAGCTTTCAGTGGATTGTGTTCAATAATTTTTCCATTTGCTGTAAAGCAACTCCACTGATTGATCAAGTCATTGACATATCTAGTGTAGATATTCAACAGATACAACAAATACACATCTGCCATATAAGACGAAGGTCAGTAAGTATTTCCTCACAAAGTGGAAATGTTACACAGTCAGATTAATCATAACCACTGATGTAAACTCAATCCAGATGGGTGTGTCCGTGAGCGCTGTGACTGTAACTGGGACGACCTGAGAAAGACAGAACCTTTACACCAGTCAGCTGAGCAGATCCCTCAGTGCTCAGCTGGGTGAAACAGATGACTGAGTGCACTCAGCCGTGCAGTTCTGTTGAGTCCTACGCACATTGGCATTCCACTTTTCCGCTCAGTCTGCTTCATTTGCCCAAGAACATGAGATGAGGTTAACCTCATCCTCTCATATGGCCTCTCGCGTCCTTCTCTGAGGCTCTGCATCCTTCTGTCATTTTAAAAGACATGGTCAGTTTGCTGTATTTTAGTCCATTCATTGAAAATGGTCTAGACTTTCCAAACATGCCATAATCTTTCACATTGATTTCCTACCTTTGAGTGAGAAACTGCCATTATATGCCATTCAGTCACAACAAACTGAATCTACATTAGTCTCTGTGAAACATAATATGATAGTTAAAGGATAAGTTTGACAAATGAAAAATGAAGATACAGCAGTCAGTTGGCTTATCTTAGCATGAAGACTGGAAACAGGGGGAAACAGCTAGCCTGTCTTGTTACCAAAGGTAACAAAAAGCCACCTACCAGCACCTCTAAAGCTCATTAATTAACCTGTTAAATCTACAAAAAGTTACTGCACCTGGACACAAAATAATCTTGCTGCACATAACCGACCATATATGCATTGTGATTTTTACCCTTTGGTTTTTTAAATGATTTTGTTACCTTTGTGTAGAGCCAGCATGGCTGTTTCCACTACAGATGCTAAGCTAAGCTAACCATTACATAGTTGTAGTTGTATCAAGCTTATCATCTGAATTGCGACAAGAAGTGAATGAGAGCATTCCCCAAAAATGTCAAACTATTGTTTTAACTTTCCCTAATTTTAATCCCGAGTCACTATGTTGCAATACTTAAAGGTAAGGGTAATGTATGATGACAGAAGAGCCTATTCAAGAGATACTCTGACACTAAATAATAGCTAAATAACTATAACAAAAAATAAAGTGGGTGTAAAAATCGATTCACGCAAGAATCGCGGTTCTCATCTACCATTCTGAATCTATTCACAAATGCCAAAAAATAGATTTTCATAATATTGTTAGTAAACCTTTCTTGTAGAATCCTTTTCTCATCTCAGCTCAGATCTAAAGAAGTAGAGCTCTCCGGAGAAGTCAACATGGAGGATGAGGATGTCACTTATTTGGACTGAACTGTGCTCATCTGTGCTCCGTATTACTAACAGCAAGAAGACAAACAGGAGACAGACAGATACTTGTCACATTTAGTTGAACTGTAGTATAGGCTAAGGCGCTCTTTGGAGATAAGATTTGGTAATCAGAACAGACCAAAAATAGGAACATAGCAGCCTCTGAGTAGATGTCACGCTTATTCTGAAGTATGTTAGGTCTCTTCTGAAACTAAGACTAACAGATGGCGATGCTCTGTCCAAGCCTTGCAGCCTGTCTACTGATTCATAATGTGACAGTACTGAGCAGAAAACAATAGCAAAACATTTGGTGGTTACAGCTTCACAAACACAAGGATTTTCTGCTTTTCTACATCTTATATCATTGTAAACTAAACATTTTTAAATGACCAGTTTGTAGAAACTGTAGAAACATCTCAACATTGGGATGTGGTAACTTCTGATGGACATTTGTCATAATTGTAGCCATTTTACAATACGGACGAAAGATGAATTCATTGCACAATATTGATAGATTAAACATATCAGTTCCACCTTTTATGTGAGGTTTACGCGTGAACTGTTTGGTCTATCTCACTGGAAATCAGCACACTAATAGACTTGGTTCTTGTGAGAAAATTAGCTATGATGCCTAATTGTAACCCCTCTTTGAATGTTGCTATGGTGATCCAGGCAGCATATGTTTGTTTGTGTCCCACTCTCCCGAAATGGAAATGGCTGTTAAGAGTTCATTATCATGACTGTAAATAGTAGCCTATGTTATTCACAAGTTACGGTGCTGTTGTATGGCCATAGTCTCTGTGAGCTGTGTTACTATTGTGTAATGAGCTATCAGATTTGACACATTTGGATTTTTCTTGGTGAAACCTAAACTTATCATAGATTTTGACTGCAGTACATCCAATCATTTTGTTTATTTGTGAAGAGCTCTGATTATCTGAAAGAAAATGTTCATTACATCCATATTTTTTAAGCTAATGTGAGACTTAAGAGTTAGATAAAGGAAAGAAGTACAAAAATGCAGTTTTGAGGATTGACATGGTAAATCGATAGTGAAGATTAATTATAATTAATGAAAATGGTCTTGTTGCAACCCTAATTGAGTACCCTCCATGTGTCTAGAAGTTGACTTGACCTGTATGTTCATATGACTACTCGTCCACATGTTGTTTCACAGTTGTCAACATTGCAGCTTCCTCATGTCTGCATCTGTTTTCCTCTAGGAGCTGGACATGGCTTATTATGACTCAAAGGCAGAGCTGGATTATGTGAGTAAGGGACGGATAAACTGTTTTGTCTGCTTTGTTTGTATTTACTGTGGCCATTCGACAGAAGGAAGATTACTGGATTTGTTTGCAAAATCAAAAGTGTCTGATTGAAATAAAGAGACTTTAAAAACTGATGCAGTGGTCGTTTCTCTTGTTCTTATAGTATTCAATGGACGGAGAAGGGGAGGTGGAAAATCCTTCGCACATCAAGCTGGAGTTTGTGTATGATCCAAACTTCAAAAACAACGTCAACTATTCCCACACGGCTGTTCAAATACCCACAGATATTTATAAAGGAGGCAAGTGAAGTTCTTATTACGTATTCACATATTTTCAGGAGCACATCTAACAAGTTTCACTCTTTTCCCATCAGCTCCAGTCATTCTGAATGAGTTGAACTGGACGCAGGCGCTGGAGAAAGTGTTCATGGACAACAGTCGGGAGGATCCGTCACTACTTTGGCAAGCGTTTGGGAGTGCGACGGGTGTCACTCGCTACTACCCAGGTAGGTTTTAGCATCCGTTCCTGTGCTTCCTCACCCCATGTTGAATATGAAGGCTGAATTTTGTCTGTCATTTTAAATTGACATAAATTGATATTAATTAACAGTATGAGGGAAACATATTTGTCTTTTTCAGCCACACCTTGGAAAGCCCCTGATAAAATCGACTTATATGACGTCAGGAGGAGGCCCTGGTACAGTATGCTGCTTAAAACATCTTTTGAAGTACAATAGATTAACAGGGTTGAAGTATTGAATCCTCGTGTTTCCTTTGTCATAGGTACATCCAGGGAGCCTCGTCCCCCAAAGACATGGTCATTCTTGTTGATGTGTAAGTAATTAATTACATTTCAATCACAAAGTTTGGTTTGTAATTGGGTTTAGTAATTGGCTAACATGTAAATGTAGAGTATGCTGCTTGTTTCCCAGTGAATAAAAAAAAACATACTTCCATCCGTGAAGTTTTCTTCAGCCTTCCTTGCGTTTGAAGTGAAGAGCCCATCTATGGGGTTATTTCACATAAGTGTGCAGCTTCTTCATGGTTCTGGTCCTATATGCCAGCAAAACTAGAGAAAGAAGCAAGACTAAAGTTGTATTGTCATGGAAAAACAGAGCACCTGTCACTGACTGTGCACCAAAACCAGCTGAGAGTGCAGCTCATGTTGCTTATGTCTAACAGCCTAAAAGTTACGTTAGAGATGATTCAGACACTAGAACAAAATCTAAATGGCCTGTACAAGCAGTTTCACAGTGCTATAAAACAGCAGAAGATACAGTAGATACAATCTGATGAAACATGAGCTTTACGAAAGATCGTTTACTATTTAAAGGAAAAGTTCAACATTTTGGAAAATTCATTTTTTCCCTTTCTGTTACAGAGTCGGATAACGAGATTGACAAAGTCTAAGCCATGCTAACAACGAAGTGTCTGAACTATTAATTAGTTAGCTTTAGAGGTGTTGGTAGGTGGATTTTGTTACCTTCGGACAGAGCACTTTTATCGGAAGGCATATTGTGATTTCATCTGAGCAGCCTGTTTTATCTTAAGGTTTTTGTTGTAGTTATATAAAGTTGCTACTTATTCTAGTTTTTTTCCTCAGTCTGTTTTACTTATTTGTGATTTCCATTTTTATTTTTTTTTTATTTTAATTACATTTTTTCCTCATGTATTTCATGAAGTACTTTTGTTTAATAAGTGATAAGTTTATTTATTTATTTATTTTTACATTTAGCTGACGCTTTTGTCCAAAGCCACTTACAATTGCTATATATGTCAGAGGTCGCACACCTCTGGAGCAAGTAGGGGTTAAGTGTCTTGCTCATGGACACAGTGGCGTTTCACAGTGGATTCGTACCCGGGTCTCTCACACCAGAGGCGTGTGTCTTATCCACTGTTTCCTGTTTCTATGATAGATCAAATGTAGATCAAAAGAATGTTTTGCTGAGTGTATTCAAACTCATGGTCATGGTCGAGTACAGCGGCCCGCTGTGTGACTGTGCTGTCCCCATGGTTGCAATTGATGGATCGTTCATTGGCACTCTTTGCAAGGTTAATGAATCCTATTACTGAGTTGAAAGGGAAAAATAGAAGAGAAGCCCTCATGAGTGACCTTTCACAACATGAAACATATTTGTTTGTTCAGACTGAGGCAGCCACATATTCAAGTACAAATAACGAAGAAATACTGCTAAAAAAAAACTATAGGCCCCAAACCTGAAGATAATTGGCTTTATAATTATTCATTCAGACAGAATTTATGGACTAAATAGTGTTTTTCCATATTTTCACTCGGGTTACATTAAGGCTTTTTGTGCCTGCAATTTTAGCAGCTCTGCTGAAAATTGTGTTTGGGTTAATGCACTGTACATTAGTCCATTCCTCTGTGGACTGCAAAATGCGGGACTGGAAATACAAACAAATAGCCGCTGATAAGGATTTATCACTGAGGCAGGGGAAATCATGTCTGTGATTGAACATCTGGAGGGAGCATGTGTTTCAGCACTACTGAAGACTCTTGACAGGGTTTTACATTACAGTGCAACCACTGATCTATTTGTTGAGCTAACAGTTCCTCACATATCCTCCACTGTTGTGTGGAGAGTGCACAAATGCAGCTCCACAACTAATTTGCACAGAATGTGTCTTAAACAGCATTTGGCAGGACTTTATTCATATTAACTGCAGCTGGGCTCACATACTGTACACCTTCCGTTATAGTAAATACTTGAAACTGAAACATGTGCTGCTGTGTAATGTTGCATATTTGTATGTAAAGTTATCTTTTTGCTTGTGTTTGCTTTTGTCTCTATGCATGTATTTGACTGGGATGATACTTGTGGGTTTCCTCAGGAGCGGCAGTGTCAGTGGACTCACCCTGAAACTGATCAAAGCGTCAGTGATGGAAATGCTGGACACTTTGTCTGATGATGACTATGTCAACGTGGCCAGGGTTAGTATCTGCTAAAACTTACTGACCCTTCATCCCTGATTCTCCATCATTCCACATCTCTCTGTCTTGTTGTTATACTTATTTCCTTCTCCTGCTGTGTTTCAGTTTAACGAGAAGGCCGAGGCTGTGGTTCCCTGCTTCAAACATCTCGTCCAGGCTAACGTGCGCAATAAAAAGATCTTCAAGGATGCAGTGCAGCAGATGCAGGCTAAAGGCACCACTGATTACAAGTCTGGATTTCATTTTGCCTTCAACCAGCTGTTAAATGCAAGTGTAATATTGATTTACATCGACTGGGGATTATGTCAATACTAGTGTCTCCACACACTGTTTTACTGCATTGACCAGCCCTACTGTTCATTTTCATTCATCTCACTTTTAAATGTATTTTTCAGAAGACAAATGTCCCGCGGGCCAACTGCAATAAAATAATCATGCTGTTTACCGACGGAGGAGAGGACAGAGCTCAGGATGTCTTCATGCAATACAACTGGCCAAACAAAACAGTTGGTTTTCTTCAGATCATTTCACCATAACAGAAACTTTTCAGTTATATCCAGCATTTGAAAATATCATCAGCATATTAATCAGCCTCTGAAAGCTTTAATTTTCTTGATTTGTCCCCCTAAGGTTCGAGTTTTCACCTTTTCTGTGGGTCAACACAACTATGATGTCACACCTTTACAATGGATCGCATGCACCAATAAAGGTGAGCTGAAGTTAATATGTGATTCATTCATTTTATTACATTCCCCATATGCACCTCAACAGCCCTTTCAGATGACCTTGAGTATTCCTTCATCATCATGTTCCAAATATGTTCTTATTATTAGATTATAAACTGGATGTTAGTTAACACAATAAATAATGGTAATAATATAATATAACTAATAATAATAATATAAAACTTATTGGAAATGATTACGTTTCACTTGGACAGTTTCAGCAGTTAAGTCATTGTTTATACCCAACTATTTCAACTTCTCTACTTGCTTCTCTACTAGTTTTCACTCACTCAGATTGATGGCCAACTTACTGGTTATTGAATTTACTAAAGATCAGCATAGAACTAATTTGTAATACTATTTTGGTTTTTTATTTTCCTGATTAAATATGCAAATATATTGAGTGTATTTTTATTTAGCCATTTTCAGTTTGGTTAATTAGTTGAGATTTCCACATACCCCCCGTCAACTGCAGAAGTGCCGCCTGGTGAGGAATCACTGCAGAGAGTAATACAGTTACACAATACAAATGGAACTGCTCCATGTTATCAAAAAGATATATGTTGATACAATAAAGTTTTGAAGTGTTAAAGTAAACACTGCAATCTGTAGTTCACTTGCAATAGCAAAAAATATAAGAATAATCAAAAGCTAATTATAGAATATTTACTTTTTGTACTGTCCAAACAGGATCATTGTTAAAAAGTATAGATAGATAAAGTTGAGTACATGTATTTTTAGCTTAGCAGACAATCTTTAAATGTATTGCTATAATAAGCCCACTCAGTCCATACTACTAAAAGTCTTCTGTATATTTATCAATAAATGCTTAGACAAAATAACAAACAAATAAACCACTAAGTTTGATCCTACTAATGGGCCTGGCTTTCAGATCTGTGAGCAGACCAGTGTTGTCCTCACAAGGTTCTGTTTGCTCAGTTTTCCTCTCAAAGATCAGATTTGCCCTTGTTTGAGAGCTGACATCGATCTTCACAGAAGAACTTGTATTCATGAGGATTCTTTGTGCTCCTGCAGGGACAGTGGCTTAATGGTGCTCACAAAAGTCAGCACACTTTTGTTCACACAGATTTGTTTTCTCTTTCATTTTTCTGAACACAGATACCTCAGTTTTAAAGCTCAGTGATATTCCTCTTTAAGCTTCATATCTGTGGGAGTTAAGTGGCTGAGTTACTGGTCTAGTAACATCTAGTAAAATGTGGAATATTTATGAGCACTACTCCTATGGGTTTTTTTCAATAGCATCGCTCACACATGCTCTTCCTCTCTCTCTCTCTCTCTCTCTCTCTCTCTCTCTCTCTCTCCCCTCCCTCTGTTTGACTTTTTTCTCTGTCGCGCGCCAGGTTACTATTTTGAGATCCGTTCCATCTGTGCAATAAGGATTAACACCCAGGTGGGTTTGTCTAGTGCCTCTGACACAGCTGATCCCCATTTACTGTTTCTATTTCTCCTTGTGGCGCTCACTCCCTCTGTAAAAAAAACATCTTCTTCCATTTGTTTGCACACCCATTCTCCCCTTGGCCTAATGTTGTTGGCTGTTTTTGCAGCTCCAGCCGGTCACGTATCTCTCTTGTTTTGTCAGGAGTACCTTGACGTGCTGGGACGCCCCATGGTTCTGGCAGGCGACGATGCCAAGCAGGTTCAGTGGACCAATGTGTATCAGGATGCTTTGGTGAGACTGCATGATCCTGTAGGCTATGTGTGATCAAATACAGTGAAGCCACCAAGCATACAAACTGAATACAAATACTCATATGCTTATATGATTTTGGACTTTGTCTTTGGACTCTGTAGGGTCTTGGCATGGTAGTAACTGGGACTTTACCTGTTTTTAATCTCACCATGGATGGAAACTCACAGGTAACACAACTAGTTATACTCTGAATATTAAATGTCTACTTGTAAAGGAATGACATTTTGGGAAATATATACTTATTTGCCAAGCGTTAGATGAGAAGATTGATACTGCTCTTGCGACTGTACAGCAAATATGAACCTAGAGGTAGGAGAGGGTAAGACTGGAAACAGGTTTTATGGTGGGTTATGTGCCTTGACTATTTCTTGGCAAGGTGCAGCGACTTCCTGGTGCTCAGCTAACCTGCTGCTGCCTCCAGCTACATATTTATCAGACAGACATAAGAGTGGGATTTATGGTATCATCTAACTTTTGGCAAGAAAGTCAGTAACTATCTGTATGCATTGTTGCTTCTGTCTGACCAGAATCAGCTAATATTAGGTGTCATGGGAGTCGACGTGCATCTTGATGAGATAAAGCGACTAACACCACGGTACAATGTATGTACATCACATTAGCACCATTATTAGTCACATTTTTCTTCATTGTACTTGTGATGAACTGCTATCTGTGGCTTTTTTACTTCCTCAACAGCTTGGAGCCAATGGATACATATTTGCCATTGATCCAAATGGATATCTTCTCCTTCACCCTAATCTTCAGCCAAAGGTGATGTACATTAAACCTGCCAAAAACATCCCACGGGTAGCAGGGAGGGGGAGGCATATGGATAAGAATAGGGGTCTATAACAAAACTTTTGGTCTCAAATTACGATTGTTTATGCCTCTGCACTGGTGATAGCTGTGACCAGAGACATTAGGTTTTCGGGTGGTCCGTAAGTCCATCCCTCTCTCATGAACGCAATATCTCAGAAACGCCTGGAAGGAATTTCTTCAAATTTGGCACAAACGTCCACTGCTTTTGAGCTATATGCAAACAGCGTATTTGAGCGCGCCTAGCTAATTATGATCTTGTGAATGGGTTTCACCTACAGCTCATAGACAGGCTTCACATCTACAAATGTAAAGAGAAAACAAAAGCAACACATTTTATTGGGCTATGCTCTATAAGAATCCATCTTTACATAGTAATCAAGTACATGTGTGCGTGTTTATTCACTGGAGTTATATATACAATATGTATCATATAGTGATAACTTTATTTAGTCAGAAAATACACTTTATACCTATATATATATATATTCAATTCCTTCCAAGTGTTCACTATATATATTATGAGTCTGGACAGACATGGATATAAACTACAACTTGACTGGTTGGTGGAGGCATACAATTACGATGCTGATATACCTGTTCTACAGTTGATGTTAATGTATTTTTCTACAACAACTCTCAGCTTGTGAACCTCCCTGAGCCTGTGACACTGGACTTCCTGGATGCAGAGGTGGAGGACAGCAACAAAGAGGAGGTAAGCACTTAGTGCTAACTATAACGGAAAAGTTTCTGTTTTCAGGCATTATCTGTTCCTTACCATTGTAAAGCTCATGTTCAAAGTTATTACCAGGCCAGTGAACAACATTATCTGCCTCGGGACTATCTGCCTACCATTCTGCAGTGTTCAGTGCAGGTAACTGAACGCCCACATGTTTCAGTAAGATGAGTGACTGAAAAAGACTGCTTTGTGTTAAGAATATTTCTTAGGTGTCTTAGTTGATGTAACAGGGAAAGGTAAGACAGGTAAAGCTTAGAGTAGTTTAGCTGACCCCTAAGTGTTTATCCGACATTTATGACTTCAGGTATTTCTCACATGTACTGGTCAAGATGACAATAATAGACTGATTAGTTAGAGACAGTAGCTCAGACGTCAGACTAGCAGATATCAGTGTTCTCTGGGAATTTTACAAGGTTAAGTCCAACAAAAATGTTTACAAGAACACACTGACTCCACAGATAAGGGTACAACTAAGGGATAGTGAGAGATTCCAATATGGCGAAGCATTAGAATCTAAACATCAGATAGATTAGTTGTTCTAGGTGGAAGGTAACCTAATAGAGAAACCTACAGGCACTAAGGGGAAGACAGGAACATAAAAAGGGACCAAAAGATGTTGGTGTTAGCATTGCTTGTGTTTACACGTTGGATGCTGACACTGTTTCTCCTTGGCCAAGTCTCATTAAACGTTGCTGTGTAAAACTTCGTCAGTCTCTGAAAATCTTCTTCTCCACACCTGACAGCTGGCTCACAATAATTCTCAACACTTTGTGTTTTTTCATTCTCTAGATCAGACGACAAATGATTGACGGAAGACCAGGTGAAATGCAGGTCAAAACACTTATCAAGTCAATTGATGAGGCAAGTAAATTCTCTTTTAAATAGCTCCACATATTTCACCTCTTTCTTCTTCTGTTTGAGAAACATTACCTATGTCTTTGACAACCTGTTTCTTACTTTTGTAGTATTTGCCTAAAAGTCTTAGTTATGACATAATTGGTTACTATTAAATTTTACTCACTGGCTTTATTGTACAGAATGTAGACGAATACTCACAGATTTACAATGCTGTGTAGTCCGTAAAACATGCTGCTCAGACAGTTTTTTTTACTTGAAATATTACTATATTGCTGTAGAGCTACTTTCTATGTCAAGTATGTCCTTACTGCACACAACACTTTGTTAAGTACGTTCTGATGTGAAATACTAGTAAACCTGCTGTTTGACAGTAACATGCAACATACTGTAGGTAAGGATGAGACTCATCACCAGTATAAAGTTCAAACAGAATCTGCAATGCAATCTATAATTGACGAGTAATCATTTTTAACTTTCAATATGCATTTATATCCAAATTAAAGTAACTGTTTGATCATATACATTAAATTAATTCAACTCATTGTTAGTAAAGCATTCAGATACAGAAACAGATGTATTGCCAAGTAGGTTTTCACGTACAAAGAATGTGTCTTGGTATTTTGGTGCATAAAAAACGAAAATTAATTAATTTTTAAAAAGTTATTTAAATGAAATGGTTGTACAGTGTTTAAAACAAAGAGGATTGTCACAGTGGGTTATGCAGGGCAATGGGGATTGGACCCAAATGCAGACAGAACAGGCAGACTGGTGCAGTTCAATGATTTATTGTTCATGAATGAGCTTACAGGCAGGTGTTGGCAGGCAGGCAGGTACAGGTAGGCAAACTGGCAGACCAGTGGGCTGGCAGTCAGATGCAGGTCCAGGAAATGAAAACTCAAATGCAAACACCAGCAAGGCAACTAGGCTCATGGCAACTTTGATGACCTAGCAAAAAGAGAAGGGATGTGAACTGGAATATATTGTGAGTGACTGATGAGGGAATTATGCTGCGTTACAGACTGCTTGGAACTCCAAAATTTTAACTTGGAAATTTCTGACCTCAAAGAGTGACAGGTGCATGAAAGTGAAAGAAAAACAATGCTGTGACAAACTGATGTTTATTTTTTATACACACAATTGGACCTCAGCAATGCCCTTGGTGTTAATTAAAAGGATTGCTGTTTTAATGAAAACAAGTCACATAAATATAAGTTACTTGTTAACTGTGTACCAGACTAGCAATCGGTTTGTAATCCTCAAAAGTCAGTAACTGTTTGTTTTCCTGAATAACTTTTGTGCAGAGAAGATGACTTTCAGATTGTTTACTGTAACTAGCTACCTAATAACATTAGCAAAATATTTCTACATCAATTTACATGCATAACAGGTTTTACTATAATAATGTATATTATTTTTTACAGGCAAATATACTTTATGTTGCCTTTTAATTTGTAATTTACCATTTACAATGTGTGCTTCCATGGGAGCTGCCATTGTTGTGTGACGTCATTCAGCTGCTTCTCGTGAAGTCGGGGTACATATTTTTCCTCTGAGTTCACAAGTAAGAACTTCAACTTCAAGTGCCGTTCCATGGTGCTTTTTTGTAGTTGGAGGTTGGACATTACCGAGTTGCCTGAAACGCAGCATAAGTTGCAGTTGATGAGTGGGCAGAGTAGGCCAGGTAACTGCAGTGCTGATGAGGGAAGTGGGAACAGGTGTATAGTTTTTGTGTGGCAGTCTGGTGATGGGGAAAGGAGGGAAAGTCCGAGGGCATCTGGGGGAGCACTGGAGGATGGCAGGTCTGGGGAGATGGAGGAAAGAACATGGCTTGAGAGACAGGATAGATAGAGAGGGTAGTGCAGAGGGCCGGGGATGAGAGTGTGTGGCTTAAGAGAGGCAGTGAGGAGCAATCTGTGGCAAGGATGAACCTGCAAAATATTAACCAAGGGAAGTGCAAATGTTCACAGTAAAAAGAATATGTGCAATGTGACGAACAAACGAGCAAAGACAATAAGGTCACACAGGGTTCATTTAGTAGCACCTTCTTCTACTTTTTGTTTTTACAAAAAACATTGGCGTAAGAAAACTGTCACAGTGTCAGAAAACATTAATAACTTTAAATTAAACCTAAAAGCTAATTTAAATTTCAGTGTTGTCTTGTGATAAAACCAATCCTATGTTGAATTGTATTGGTGTGGATCAAAGACCTGAGCTCTGTGAGCATTGTGTTCTGTGGGCTGAGTATACTGCTGAGTCCTCATTACAAAGAAGCTGTGAGAGAGAGAAGGCAAAAACTACAACACTAAGACCTAGGTTGTAAAACTCCAAGTCATACCTTCACCAAAGCCATACTACGCACATTTTACATTAGGTAAAAGCATTAAAACTGTAGCCTGTTTATTTTGGCTGACTGAAGTGAACTCAAATGTCTCTGTAGCAATACATTGATGAGGTGCACAGGGGTTACACCTGGACTCCTATCAACGGTACAGATTACAGGTGAGTCATTACGATGTAATGAATAACCAACGAGCTGTGGCCTGATGAGGACTGCTCACACAGATGGATTCATTCTAATGCGTTTCCTCTCTGTGTCTCCTTGTTGGGATGCTGCCACCTGCAGTCTTGGTTTGGTACTACCCCCATATAATGAATACTACATCCAGGCAGACCTGAGTGATGTGATGGTGCAGCTCCAGTGTGAGTACAGGGAGGCAGAGCTTTCACACTTCTGTTTCATTAAGATGCAACACAAAGATGAGATGAAAAAAACTAACATCACCCTCTGTCTCTGTTACAGATATGCAGTCATTGCTCCCCAGCTCCTTTGAATCCGCAGGACATGTGTTTCTGGCTCCAAGGTGATTACCATCTAGCTATGCTCTCTTAATTTCACTCTTTCTCTTTCTGTAGTATTCATTCTACCATTTGTTTCACCAGGGAATACTGCAAACGTCTGCATCTTTCTGACAACAACACCCAGTTTTTGCAAAACTTCCTCTCGCTCATGCTGGACATTTCCCCAGAATCGGATGAGTGTGAGTGTGTCAACAGCGGTTAGTAGTTTACAATATATGCCACTGCTGCAGACACACAGATGAGATAATATACTTGTTTTGTGTCTCAGGTGACCAAGGCCTCATCCACAACCTAATTTTGGATTCTAGGATTATTGGGCAGCTGGCCTCTCGTTCTTGGAAGTCCGATGAGCTGAATTCGTGAGTGGACTTTAATGGAGTTGTTTTACACAGCATTCTCACACACCATCCACCATGGTAAAAACTTGCCGTTCACAAAGTAAAGACTAATTGTTACAGGTATGGCTTCCTGGTTGTATTTGCATCCACTGACGGAGGAATAACACGGGTTTATCCCAACATGTGAGTAAGATTAATGCACTCACTAATTCAGAGAAATATATTAGTAATCCCACAGATATTCTGTCTATAAACATTTTTTTTCATAAAACATTTAATTATTTGTGTTATGTTTGTACAGAGCTGCTGAGTTATGGGATGAGGATCCTGAACCCTTCAATTCGAATTACTACAGACGGAGCCTCGACAACAAAGGCTACATGTTCAGACCTCCGTCCAGATCCTGTGAGTAACTCCGCAAACACATCTTAAAACAACTATAATCAAAATTTTTACAATGACAATGGATTAAATGACTGTGTGCATGTGAAGGGGGTCACTCGCAGTGATGAACCCGCACAAGTTAGGGCCCCAAGTGGCCATTGAAAAACAGTGGCCAAAAACAATATTGCAGGTTTAATGTGCAATACTTCAGGTCATTGAATGAGACTTAACTGTAGATATTAGTGATATATAGACTATGAGTGATCATTTTACTGGTACTGTCTCAGATCAGACATATAGATATATATGACCACCTGTTATCACGTGATCAATGTTCCACACTGTGGTCACGTAATGACACCTGAGCCAGTTCCATTCGCTGATGAAAACCGTGAGGTGTGGTTGAAAGCTCCGAAAAGTCTTGTAAGTGGACCTTATGAGAGTTGAGATTATTTTGTTTAGCACAACAGGCTAATTTTCATCTGTTGTCCCTGGCCAGTTATTATGAAGGCAACCTAAAATGAAGATTTAAAATGACATAAAATGACTTATTACAGTCCACACGTAATAACAATATATACAAAATAAACAGATAACACACAACAATAAGTAACAAACAACATATCAGCACACAACATAGACAAAACATAACGAGAGATTAAAAAGACTGACAAGACAATCTGCAAACAAGCAACAAATCTCAGTAGGCAGTCAGTAGTCTAATGTGCACATATCTGATTATCAATTAGCCAGTTCTTAAGCTGACCAGTAAAAAAACGATAAATATTTGCTTCTCTTATCAGCATTGGCAATAGATTCCATTGTTTAGATGCTGTTACAGAGAACCCTGACTGACTAAAAGCACTTTTTTGAGTGGGAATGATACAATCACCTCTTGTGACACCTCTGGTGACATGAGTGCCTGCTCTCTGCATAACAAATCTCTTCAGTGGAGGTGGGGCAGTGCTATGCTATATCTTATAAACTAGACAAAGGTTACTATAAGTGATCAAGTTTTCCCAACTCAGAAGTCTATGGGTATTTAAGATTTGACAGGTGTGAAAACTATTAGGTTTCTGAACTAAAAACTTTGATAGTTTGTTTATAAAGACTTTCGAGTGACTTCATTGTGGATTTGTTAGCCTGTGCCCAGCTTGACAAACAATATATAAAATGCGGGATAATCATGGTGTTCATATATATCATAGCAGTTTCAAAGCTGAGTGATTCCCTAACAAATCTAAAATTACTTAAATGAAATCTAACTCGTTTGCACATTACATATATGTCTGGGTCTGGAGTGCTACATGGTCGCTTTGAAAAGAACATGCTAACCGTTTTACAAACATTTAACGTAAGACATGATCTGTCGAGCCATGTTGTGATATAGTTCATTGCACTGGTCTGTTTTGAAGCAGCTTGCTGCTTTGTGCTGCTGTGTACATAAATAACAGCATCATCAGCATATAACTGGATTTCTACATCGGGACAAACCAAGGGCAAATAATTAACATAAAGACTGAGCAACAGTGGCCCAAGTATAGATCCTTGCAGAACACCAGTATTATTTGTATAAGCGGTGGATTTATGATTTTGAACCTTTACATAATTTGTTCTTCCCTTTAGATATGAATCAATCCACTTAATGGTATCTTAAATGAATTTGTTAATAAGTATTCCATGATTCACATTGTCGAAGGCCTTTTTAAGGTCCAGGAAAATTGCCCCCACAGTACCACCCGTATCCATCATGGATTTAATGTTTTCCAGAAGGAAAAGGGTAGCAGTCTCTGTTGAATGGTGAGCTCTAAAACCAAATTGCATAGGATGGAGGCTAAAGTCACTGTTGTTCAAATAAAAGACTATTAGCTCTGAAACCCACTTCTCCATCACCTTGGATAAAACAGGCAAAATACTGATAGGTCTGTAGTTACTGATAATCTGGGGATCTCCTGCTTTAAGAATTGGTGACACAATAGCAGTTTTCCATGTGTTTGGAAAAATCCCTTGAGATATTGAGAGGTTTATGATATTTGTAATGGATGGAGCTAAGCAGTCCTTTAACGAAGTGAGCATTATGGAGTCCATGCCGTAGCAGTCCTTAGCTTTGGAAGTCTTAAGTGTTTTAATTATCCTTACTACCTCTTGCTCGGAGATGTTACTTAAACAGGATTGGGGTTTGGAAGTTTGGAACTGACAGTCCAGTAAAAATCTGTTTCAGCAAAACTTTGAGTAATCTCATCTACAGAGTCTATAAAGTATCTTTTAATGGCTTCAGCCATTTCAAAGGGATCCTCAGATATTTTACCATGTAGCTTTAACTGTACTTGCTTTGATCATCCATTATTTACACCAATTAATTTCTTAATATGCTCCCAGATTTGTTTAGTATTACCTCTAGACTCATGAATAATACTAATAAAAAAGTTTGCTTTAGCCTTTCTTAATTCTCGAGTAACCCTGTTACATAACATTGTAAACTTTTGTCTATCAATTTGCAATTTAAACTTCAGAAAATGTTTTTGTACATGATCTCGCTCCTTCATCAGTTTCAGTAAGTCTGTACTCAACCATGGTAGACAGTTCTTTTTACTCTTTTTCTTACCTTGGGATGTGCTATACTCTGAATTGTGTTTATAAATCTCTTGCTGTCTTCCTCTACATTCCTCCCAGCTATAAATTCATTCCAATTTGTTTTATTTATAGTCATTTGGAAATTCTCAAGTTCACTTTTAGGAATTCTAGGATGCTGAGAATGATATTTATTTGTCCTATGGTCAGTTAATCCAGTAATGAGGTGATTTTTTCTCAACTCTTTCTGGCCTGTTGGTGAAAAGTAAATCAATTTGCGTCTGTGAGGATATAGTTATTCTGGTAGGACCTTTAATTAGTTGTGTAAAATCCATATTATCTGTAATCCTTTTTAAAGAATTCCTATTTCTCTTGTCATCCCAATTTATGTTGAAATCACCTAAGAGTAAGACTTCTTGTTATGAATTACATTCTTTGAGTAACCTTTTAAATTCATCATAGAAGGTATTGTTAGAAGAAGGTGGACGATAAGAGTAAAAACAAAAAAAAAAGGACATTTGAGAAAAGAGAGTGATAGTTAGTCCAATACATTCCAGATTAACATTAGATAGTTGAATCTGGGTGCAGTGAATATTATTCTTCAGGTAAACCATGACTCCACCACCTCTTCCCATTTTCCTTGGTATGTTAGTCCAGATGAGCCAACCCTCCCAAGTTGTAAAATACTGTATTACAGGAGTATGAGACATCATGTGGCACTTCATTTCTTGATGTGGCTGTTGTTTATTACAGCAACAATAATTAAGTAAATATAATTTCTTAATAAATCTATCAAAAGAAACCTGATTTCTTGACTGGCAACTCTCTGCTATCTCATAGAGGACATATTTGTCCTGTCTCAGGCACCGTAGCTATACAACTCGCTTGGATAGGGGAGAAGGGGTGCAATTTGCAACCACTAGATATCAATAACATTTACACACTGAGCCTTTAAAAATAAATTCAAACTGATAAATACAGCATTCATAAATGTGTGACTAGGACCTCACATCAGCTTTTTTTAATCGTTAAATCGTTTTGTTTCTAAACAGCCTTGGAGGACCCCGTGAGTGCAGAAAACGGCACCGTTGGAATTTTGGTTAGTTCAGCTGTAGAGGTTAATTTAGGAGGCAAACTGCTCAAACCTGCAGGTGAGAAAAATACTTTCATGTAGCAAACATATTGTGGTATCCTGTGATTAATGTGGGATTCTCAGGAATGTTCTTTATCTAAAATATTTTTCAAATATTTCAGCTACCTCTGTTTTGTACTCATCTTACCAAAATGTTGCTTCTCGCCCCTCTTATCTCTTCTTTGCTCTGATCCGGTGGATCTTGTCACTCAGTGGTCGGAGTGAAGCTGGACCTGGAAGCGTGGGTGGACAAGTTTAAGATCCTGGCCAGCAATGTGTCAGACATTCGACAGGGCTCACACAAGGTATAGCATGGTGCTACTACTTACTAATAATCACTAATGACTTAATTAGATTGCATTTGCTGTGACAAAAGTGACATTATTGTCTCATTACACATGTTGTGAAACAGTGTGGACCTTCCAGAAGTTGTGAAATGGACTGTGAAGTGAACACTGACGTAAGCATGTTTTGCATTTCATTCTCACATTAGCGCAACCGCTAGACTGTGGCAGACCTTCAGGTTAAGTGTGTTCTTAATACTATTGTGATTATTAAATTTGTCTGTCAGCTGTTGTTTTCAACTCACAGATAAGAGGAACACTTGTTAAAGCTGATGTGCCCAGTGTAATTACCAAAATCCACAGCCTGCCTGATGTGTACGATTAAGATTAAGAGGGTGTTTTAGGCTGTGTGCTCATCTTGTCCCTTGTAGGATATTACACTGTGAAAAATCTCCCTCTTAACCAGTTATTCAGTCAGATCTTGAAGCCACTCAAAAGGAAAGATATCAGATCAGGGATTTTTGTTATTCTGTTTTTGTATTTAATGTCTAGAAAACTTGGAGCAAGTTTTTTTATTAATAGGCTTGTTTTGACAAATTGTTCATATAAATCAATGTTCAATTTAAGACCAAATGACTTAAGATTTTTTTTGCAGTGTAGGAAACGTTCATATAGACTTGCCTGCAGGTTTTTACAGTCTGCTGTCTCCTCTTATAACATCATGTCAGCCTGTATATTGAGATTTTCTTTGTTCTGCTTCTGTTCAGTGATGTGGTAAAATGTTAAAAGATTCTGCTGCTGTGTGTGCGACCCTTGTTGTAAACTCTGCCATGTTGTCTGCAGGACCTCCTCTGCTATCTCATTGATGATGGTGGGTTCCTGGTTATGTCCAATCAGAGAGATCACTGGAAAAAGGTACGTCTTTGTGTGGTAATGTGCTTTCTCTTCTGCAGTGTCCATTTAGCAGAAAGTACACAGTATGCCTTATGTTTTAAAAGTGATGAAAAATGAAAGGCAATCCTGCTCTAAGTATATGCCTAACTGATCCTTTTTTGTGAGCAGATGTGAATTCATTTCTGGGAGTTTTATCAACGTACTTGCTGTTCATGGTGTTATTGCATGCTTATATCAGATTTTGTATGTTTGCTGGTTTCAAAAATAGTTTTCTGTTACAGGATCATTAAGTAGTTAATTCAACTAAATTCAGAGTCATTGCAGTTTTCTTCAGCTTATACCAGTTCAGCTCAGTTGTCACTGCAGGACCAAATAAATGAACAACAAACATAAAGAACACAGAAACAAGTAGAAAACGTTTATGTTATTTAAAGTTTATGTTGAACCACTGTGTGTCACTGTTTCTCTGATGCACTTTCTTTTCCTTTCTCTAACTGTCTTTCCTTTCGTTCACCGATCACAGATTGGTCTATTCTTTGGTGATGTGGACCCTTACCTGATGCATGCACTCTACAACAACTCAATCTTCACTCGGCGTCAGTCTTTCCACTACCAGTCGGCATGTGAACCAGTTAGCAGCAGCCACACTGGTGCAGCACCGAGGGGCATCTTTGTGGTAAGAGACACCTGCAGATTTCAGATTCTGGAATCTGTTTTAATATGATGGAAAGCTCTCATCTGTAACTTCTCTCTGTTTCTGCAGCCGTCCATTGCCGACATCCTCAGCTTGGCCTGGTGGACATCCACAGTGGCATGGTGAGACTTCATTTACTGCAAATCAGATGACACCAAGACCAAGTTAGGTGCCCTTTAAAACAATCTTAATTGTGTACAGACGTCTGCATATGACACCAGGAGCGCCTTTTTTATTGCTAGGCAGCTGCCACTCTCTGCCATTTTCAGCACGCAGCATGTTACTGTAGCTTGTCTTTACTGTTTTTTATTGATGTTTACACATCGTATTTCAGTCTTTAACAAAGTGCAATGTGAACACTTTTACAGGTCTGTGGCCCAACAGCTACTGTATGGGCTGGCCTACAACAGCTGGCTTTACCAAGGTGGATTTGTGCATCTTAACACAATCTGTGTGTGCGTGTGTGTGTGTGTGTGTGTGTGTGTGTTATTAAATTAGATTTAAATAAGTCCGTTCTATAAAATCCAACAAGCACCTCATTTGCATTTAGGCCTTATTTTTAGCCTCAAACTTCAGTTACCATAAACATGTTCTGACCTGATTAAAAAGGGATTTTGTTAACATTGAACTGTTGTTTCACCGGGAAACGGCAACATTTTGATGAATGTGTACAGGTACTGGTCATATAATTAGAATATCATCAAAAAGTTGATTTATTTCAGTAATTCCATTCAAAAAGTGAAACTTGGATATTATATTCATTCATTACACACAGACCACGTTGACCTTGGACCTCAGAAAACACAGTGGACCAGCAGATGACATGGCACCCCAAACCATCACTGACTGTGGAAACTTTCCACTGGACTTCAAGCAACGTGGATTCTGTGCCTCTCCTCTCTTTCTCCAGAATCTGGGACCTTGATTTCCAAAGGAAATGCAAAATTTACTTTCATCAGAGAACATAACTTTGGACCACTCAGCAGCAGTCCAGTCCTTTTTGTCTTTAGCCCAGGCGAGACGCTTCTGACGCTGTGTCTTGTTCAAGAGTGGCTTGACACAAGGAATGCGACAGCTGAAACCCATGTCTTGCATACGTTTGTGCGTGGTGGTTCTTGAAGCACTGACTCCAGCTGCAGTCCACTCTTTGTGAATCTCCCCCACATTTTTAAATGGGATTTGTTTTACAATCCTCTCCAGGGTGCGAATATCCCTATTGCTTGTACACTTTTTTCTACCACATCTTTTCCTTCCCTTCGCCTCTCTATTAATGTGCTTGGACACAGAGCTCTGTGAACAGCCAGCCTCTTTAGCAATGACCTTTTGTGTCTTGCCCTCTTTGTGCAAGGTGTCAATGGTTGTCTTTTGGACAGCTGTCAAGTCAGCAGTCTTCCCCATGATTGTGTAGCCTACAGAACTAGACTGAGAGACCATTTAAAGGCCTTTGCAGGTGTTTTGAGTTAATTAGCTGATTAGAGTGTGGCACCAGGTGTCTTCAATATTGAACCTTTTCACAATATTCTAATTTTCTGAGATACTGATTTTGGGGTTTTCATTAGTTGTCAGTTATAATAATCAAAATTAAAAGGAATGAACACTTGAAATATATCAGTCTGTGTGGAATGAATGTATACATTATACAAGTTTCACTTTTTGAATGGCATTACTGAAATAAATCAACTTTTTGATGCTATTCTAATTATATGACCAGCACCTGTATATAAAATCTGGGCGAAAATCAGTTTAAACCAAATTAGTCTCAGTTCAAAAACAAAAATGAGCTTTGGGAATTATATTATTATATTACTACCTTAAATAAAATGCTAAACTTTAATGTGTTTGTGGTCTAGATGATGTCCTTGTTGAAGGTTTTGAGACAAAGGAAAGCAGCTGTGTGACCATCCAAAGCCAGTTCTACTTCACAAACACCACCAACTCTTACAACGTGCTGCAGGACTGTGGAAACTGCTCACGGTGTGTTTTTCAGAGTGTCAGCAGAATGTGTTTGTGCTCTCATACCTGGACTGTACACACTGTAAGAAGTCAACTAAATATCCGTCACTGTCTCCTGTAGGCTGTTCCATGCAAAGCGAATAGAAAACACCAACCTCCTCTTTGTGGTCGCCGAGACGCTCCCCTGCAGCTCATGTGAGATAGAGAGATTGACACAGGTCAGGACAGAGTGTATCCTTTTCATGCTCACACACTCTGCGGTGCTTTCGTTTTTGCTGACGGTGGAAATCTCATCGATCTTGTGTGGCAAGTAAATTCAGTGTTACTTAATTTAACTAAAAATAAACAGTTCAGGAGGAGAATCCATGCGAAGTACTGAGCAACGCACGATATCGTAAAGGCCCGACTTCCTGCTTTGACTACAGTGCCTTAGTGAGTAGATACACTATGTATGGAATTATATTTGTGCCTCAATTCTGAGCATGAGACATTTTGAGCACAGAAATATATTTTTATAAGCACATTGACTATATTTTGTAGAAAAAGTACTGCTTTTAAAATACAAAAATCAATTTGTATTCACTTATTGTGTGTATTTGTAAGTATTATCTACATAAGCATATAATGATCTCTCTGTGCACTCCCACTTTATGAAATTCTACTTGTAGGTTAGTCTCTCTAGCCAACTATCTTGGTTTGTGGCTGGTTAATCACAGCTAGCTATACAGTAGTTAACTAAGCTAGTTTTGCTAACTTGATGATTCCATCTACTGTACACAACCAAGGCATTATACTCATTTATGAAGTTCCTTCAAAAATAACTTTCACTGTACCACTGAATTTAAATAAATCTAAGATATAATTTCTTAAACATAGGGTGCTACCTCGAATTTTAAAGCACGCTATTGTGCAGCTGGCAATTATCAAGTTAGCCAACTAGCTTACTTAGCTACTGCTTATCTGGCATAAGTTAGCTAACTACTTACCAAGATAGCTAGCCCAAAGTGCGTCCCTTCTGAAAGCTGCCATTATGCTTCATTAGAACGGCCCCGCACACCATTGGAATTGGGGTTGGAGACTGCGTCCAACAATTTCTGTAACTTTCTGAAACAACTATCTGGCATTTACGCCCACTTCACGCAGTGATTGGCCAACTGTACAGAGGTGAGAAAAGAGCCAGGGTTTAAACTTCTCTCTCCAGCTCTCGTTTTCCATCCTTACACAACTACTTTTTTCCACTTTTTATGTGAACTATGAAGACTATTAATTTCTTTCAGGAGAAACTGAAAATGTGCCATGTTATCCCCATATTTAAAGAAAGCATGAAAACCACCCTCTCTCTTTGATGACCAGTTTTTCACTCTGCCTCCCAGGGTGGCTGTTCACTCACGTTGGTCGGACAGCACAGTGTACCTCTTTTTGAGCATAACCCAACCATAACACCATTGGAGAAAAAACAACCAACATACTCCCAATTTTGCTGTGTAAGTCAGCCAAACCTTTTGAGAGAGAACAAATGATTCAAACTGAGTGACAGTGGTCATTATTGCGTGTTTGGGTGGATAATAGTAAACACGAAAATAAATGTACACAGAGCATTGTCTGTGCAAATTAAATTACTCTTTCCACAATAATAATTTTTCTTCAAGATATAATTTATTTGCTTGCAAAAGAAAGTTTATGTGCTTAAAAATGTCCCTTTTCACGCTTAGATATGAGGCACAAATTCCAATGTCAATACACTAATGATGAATCATTTGCTCTGGATTTATTGTTAACTCTCATTGCAGGAAAACACGTCAGAGTGCGGGCGGGGTCATGCTCTGCAGTCCTCCATAGGAGTCCTTCTCTTTATTCAGCTTATTCTGCCTCTTTTTCATCTCTGACACGTTCAAACACTCTAACTGACATCTTTCATCTCTTTGGGTTTAGGCTCGGATCTACTGAAGGTCAGATCAAACAGCAACTGCAAAATTCTTCGTTTTTGATCTACAAACGTCCCATAGAACATTTGTGCTTGGGTAAAAAAACAAAAGTGGATAAGCTCTTAGTGTTTTATGCCTTATTGCTTATGCATTTGTTGGTGTTCCAGGGCTTGAGTGCAAAATATAGGAAGAGAATGTGTTGAGTGTGCATGCTACTTAAACTAGGACAAGCATGTTTAACATTTTTGCACACAGGATCAGCCATGTAAACACCAAAAAGTCAGGGAGGCAGCTGAAATGTACTTTTAACGGGCCAATAAATAACCACTCAGCTGGAACTCACAACTTTAGGTGGGATTGTGGTAGTGAAATTATAAAAGATCTAAAAACTCAGTCTATTTGGTTTGTGGTAAAAACACAGTGGTGGAAGGTACTCAGATATTTTTAGCAATACCAATCTGTGGAAATACAAGTATTAGCAACAAAATTTACTTAAAAGCATAAATACTCATTTGACAGCAGAATGGACCCTATGTGTTACATCAACATATCAATCATTATATTATCAGATTAATATTAGTTATGCATTAACATGTAGGAGCATTTAAATGTTGTAGCTAATCAAGATAGAGCTAACCTTCAGTACTTTATACACCGTTGGGTAGTTTTATCAATAACAGTCATTTTAAAAACTCAGCATAGGTTTTCTGTGAAAAAATGAAAAGTAACTACTTGTCTGATAAATCTCGTGGAGTAAAAAGTTAAATATTTAAGAATTAAAGGTGCTCTGTGGATTTTTCTAGCAAACAAAGTTTCTGTTTACAATTAGTGTTTCTCACCCGAAACACTTGTTGAATGCATTTCCTACCACATAAAAAACTGAAACTGCTTTGTTTACACCCATATTTACTTGATAGCAGTCTTCTTCCCTGCATTTTCTGACGTATTGCAGCATTTTGTGGCGCCTTACTGCCTGCCACCTGTGGATCGTTGGAATAGAGTGAAACCATTGGGGTTTCCAACAGGGACCCACTGTTTTCATTGCTCCATAGCGCTGCTAGTGGTCAAAACTCCACAGGTTACCTTTTAGGAGATAAAATGGGATTACTCAAGTAAAGTACAAGCAACCTCAACACTGTACCCAAGTATAGTACTTGAGTAAATGTAAATAGTTACTTGTCATCACTGAAAATACAACGCTGCACATGCCACCACATGACCGGGTATTATCCAGAAGAGCTCTGTGATTGGCAAAACAACTTTGTAGAGACATTATTCTGAGTTTTTAGATTTTTCATTGTCACTGTGGCTCCTTCGATGAGGCCCACCTAAATAGTTAACTGTTGGTTAACTATGGTTTAAAGTTTCCATACAACTGCTGGGTAAAGCTATAGAAAGTATTTACATAACCGAATGAACATGGAAAGAAATAGACAGAACCTGCTGCTGGTTGAGCTCCACAATTCAGGCTCCCTCCTATAATTTGCTCAGACGCCGCTGCTCCTGGCATCTTCTGTTTTTGTTGGCTTTGTGAAAATTAAAATGGATTGTCTGTGCCAGGTTTCATTTGCATGTCCAGTACGTAGTAAATATCTTTGCACATGAAGGAGCTCCTGCACCTACAGCGGTTTTTACATGATAGTAGATCCAGGCCTTAACCTCAAATTCACTTCAGTGTCTTTCAATCCACCTCTGACCTTTGCCAGACAGTTTCAGGACTATAAATTCCATCATAGATGACAACGACCCAGAATGACCTCCCTCTGCTGTCTCAAGTACGCTCTGTCTCTTAAATCGTTATTTCAGACAGAATTTAGATGAGAAGTATTTTTCCCCCCTAAAAATATTTTTCTTAGAGCATTTTCATTTATAAGACAACAGATGAGAAAAGTATGATGAGAAATACCAGTGTCAGACCTCCAGCAAGATTTTGTGACTTTTCATAACACATATCAGTGATGAAGTGTCCGTGTAGTTTCATTGATTCAAGGATTGTTAAAGGCAAGGTTTGTTTTGTTCAAATGCTTCCACAGAGGCTTGGCATGAACTTGATGTGCTTCCAGTTGATATGAATTGATTAAAGGTGTAAAATCAGACAGAAACATACGGTCGTATCAAATGTTAACAGTGTTTTTGTTACAATAATGTAGTAGTGAATCCTCCAAAAAAACACTTCAGTGGTTTAGTGCAATACTGCTGTTTTGCACTAAACCACTATACTGATAATAGTTTGCTTTATTCTAGCAGTAATTATCATGACCATCAATTTCTCATTAAATTTAGATTTGAAGTAATTGACATTCTGTGTTATCTATAGTGTTATAGCACAAAACATGTGCAGATGTCAGTGTGTAGCTGACATGTTTTTAGGCGCATTACATCAGTTGTTGGTTAAAGGGAAGCTCTCTGTCCCTTTTTTTTTATATCTTGTATCGCCACTATTTGTCAAACCTGAATTTATGCACTTGTGTATGCTTCTGTATGGGGAATGTAGCTTTGAACAGCTTTCTGTGTAATCAATATTTTATCAGTATGTGATGCTTTTTGGCGCTCTGTTGAGATTCCCCCGATGTCACACTGAAAGTGATGATTCGCTGTGGCAGAATGTTTTCATTTTTATCATGCATAAGGCGTCATGATGTTGACGTCTGATTCAAGTTTGTACAAAATTATGAAGCTGTAAGACTTTTAGCAGTTTTGTCACAGTTTGTGTCTGTCCAGTATTGTATGCATGTTAAACATTAACCCCATAACAAAGAAATAATACATGCAACATATATTAGGGATGCAACTAAGCAATTATTATTGTTATCTCTATTATTCAATGATTAGTAGTTGAAATAAAAAAAAAATTGCCCTTCAGTTTCCCAGAGCGTGGTTACAAGTACATTAGTACATTCAGTGTCAAACAGCAAAATCCTAACACATGAAAATCAAAACTCAACACTGAAATTTATTATTTTTGTTCATGAAGTCACCGGTTTGTCATTAGGAAAAAACACGACGACTGTGCTTATGTAACAGTTGGAAAATCATTATCTGTTACATACAATTTATTTAATTTGACTCATTTTATCAGTGTGGGTCTTGTCTCATCTGTCTGCGCAACGCACGTGTCAGACTTCTCCTCCGTGGCCGCCTGCAGCTATACTACTTGTGACTGTAACTTCCACTATCTACATCTACACTAGATGCCAAATTTTTTTCAAGCCGTTAAATGGCGGCCCAGAACAAAGTGAAATTATTTCAAATCCTCATACAGGCTAATCCTGTGCATGTTTAGCACAGTACTACTGCGCGGTAAGATTGATTCCAAATAACTGCAGATATTTTTTTTTTATCTCCCTTGTTAAACAAAATTGACATAAAGCATTGCTGCAAAAAACATTCTCGCACTTTTATTTTGGAGGCAGTGAGTGTGTGAGTAACTGTAGTTGTCATGACTGAGATCTATTTCAGCACCAGCCGCTATCATTATTAATCATTTTTTATTTTTCTGCTATCAAAGCAATCTATCAAGGCCAGAAATTATTGCTGGTGGGCCTGCCTATTGCCGACCACTGCTTTAACATACACCAATCAGCCATAACATTAAGAACACCTGCTGGTCTCCCTCTGCCACCAAAACAGCTGTGACCCATCAAGGCATGGACTCCTCTGTGTATGCAATGTGTGTCCTGACGTCTTTCTATCAGAACCAGCATTAACTTTTTCAGCAATTTGACCTGCAGTAGCTAGTCTGTTGGATCGGCCCACACGGGCCACCCTTCCCTCCCCACATGCATCAATGAGCCTTGGCTCACCGTGACCCTGTCGCCATTTCCTGCTTTTCTTTCCTTGGACCACTTTTGATAGGTACTGACCACTGCAGACCGAGAACGCCCCACAAGAGCTGCAGTTGTGGGCATGATCTGACCCAGTCTTAAGCCATCACAATTTGGCCTTGTCAAAGTTGCTCAATTCCATAAGTTTGACCATATTTCTTGCTTCTAACACATCAACTTTGGGGCCAAAATGTTGCTACTTAATATGTCCCACACACTAATGTGTGCAATGGTAACCAGATAATTACTGTTACTCACTTCCCCTGTCAGTGGTCATAAGGTTATGGCTGACTGTTATATTTTATTTATAAAGCAATGTGGTTGTAAGGCATACAGTTAGCAGGTTGTTTTCACCAAACTCTCCATCTGACAAATTGTACAAACAAGGTCACAGCCTGTATGATTATTGTGCTGTATTAAACAACCCCTTAACATAAAAATCTCTACTACTAATGACTATTTTCTTGGTCGACAAATCTGTTAATTATTTATTCGATTAGTCACTAGTCACGATTATTTTTGTCACTACCTAACCCTAATTAACCCATTTAACTAATTAAATATCTTTCAAGTGAACTAGCCTACTGATCTCTTAACACACAGCCTAACTAGCTAACCTTACCATTAAGTGAATGAGGTTTAATATTCAGAATGAACACCAGTATCAACGCCAGGGGGAAACCAAGGAAGACAAGACAGCGTAGGCTACTCCTATAATTCACTGATTTATACTAACTTTAAAACTTTTAACTGTTTAACAAAGATTTTTGCTTTGGAACTATATAAAATAAAAGCAAATTAACAGTAACATTAGAAACAGTCCCCTTTCATACAACTTCTGTAGTTTATTTTTCAAAAGTGCTTATAAATTTTAGGTAGTAACTTAGTGGAGAATGTTCTGTAGGCTGCATCAAGAGACAGATATTCCTTGATTTACTTTTTTCAAAGCTGGGTCTCGACATTCCCAGCGTTGTGTTGGACAGATTTGTGCTGCGGTTTTTATGAGACAGACGAGCGAGAGGATGTGCTGCGCGTGTGCGCTACGGCGCTCATCTGCAATCAAATAGGATTTTAAGTAGGCCTAGTAAAATAAAATCAAAACAAAATCAGTATGTGGCGGGCCGCCACAAATAAATGCAGCTCTGTTGTTGCTGCTGCAGTGGTCTGAGTAACTGGGACCAGAGGGCTCTGTGGCCCGACTGGCCGGCCGGCTGCCACCGTTAACCTCGCGGGCACTTGTGGAGCTTCTCAACCCCGAAAACGTTTGAGCACATTTTCGATTCGCCATCAACTTTGGTAAAACTGCCAATATTCAAGTTCTAACACAGTTGATTTCTCGACTCAAAACCGCTCACAAGTGTAGCCCAATTAGAGATTATATAGTGTACAAAATTAAAAACAAAAGCCGCTCTGGTGTTCGCCTCTTTCTCCGCTTCTTTCTCCTTCTCACGTGAAACTTTCTTCTTCGTGAGTAGTTTTACGGTGAAGCAGTCATGGCAGACAGTGGAAGCGATACTGCCCCCAGCACTTCCTGTAGTGTATTGCAGTTTGAAATAAACCACAAATGTTCCTAGTATGAAGATTGTTATCTCTCCCTTAAACGGCATCTATAACGATGCGTCGAGAATTAAATTTCACATCGACGAATTTTTATAGTCGACGTCGTCGATTACGACTAATCGTGGCAGCCCTACTCTACTCACGATAATAATTTGTGTCAGATGTGTTTTTTCAACACATTTATTTTCTCTCATATTGTTCAGTTCAAAATTTTAACTGCTGAACACCTTTGGAGTCACTTTAAGTAAGTTAAATTCTAGTGAAGACTTTGTAACTTAACAATGTATCACTGTCTTCTTTAGAAGTTATACATGATAAAATCTCGAAAACAATTTCCCACAGTGATTCATCAGCCCCTGGTGTCTTTTTGTGTTACCATTTGTTCTGTCACATTAATCGGGGATATTTTTTACAAGCTTTTTCGACATAACATTTGTAAAATGCTGTTTTTCTCCGTCTGCCTGGAGTTCCACCCTGCAGTGCCTTTGTTGCACTCATTTTGGATGGCAGGAACATTTGTATCTTAGACGTGTGGACGTTCATCCTGCAGGCCCTGTGAAAGACACGGTTAAATTTAAAGGGTTGCAATGGTTCAACTCTAAATGGACTTCTCGTCAGGGAAGAAAAGGATGCACTTCATGAACTTATGAAAGCTTTTAAAAGGAGCACAGCACGGTTGTGAAAGAGCACAACAGAGGCATGTCGAGCAGCTGGCCTCCCCTCCTGCCTTCTCATGGAGAGATGTTCGTCAAAGCGACGTGAACCAACCCTGCTGCCCGTCTGCTACATGTCGTTTATCTCTACACTGTGGTTCAGCCTCGAATCAAAGCACAGACACTGTCCATTTTCATAGATTTTACTTCGTCCCATTGGCACACTGTATATTCTATATTTGAAGCCTGTTGGAAACATATACTTTTCCATTAGGACTGACTGAAACGAGTGAATGTTTATGTACAGTATACCTACTGTTCTCCATTTCTCTGCTGTACCCGAGCATGGTGGGGGACCCGGAGAAACAGACTGAAGCTCAACACTGTTTGGAGACCTCAGCAAAAACACTGCTTTAAAAAAAGAAATGAACAAAAAAAACCCAGCTTTTATTCTGAGACCTGCTGTATTCATTTTTGGTCGTATTGCATTATTCAAACAATACTGGTGTACATTGAAGGAAAGACATTTTGTGAAACTCTTTATAGCCTACAATATATTACTACTGTTGAGGTCAGTGTTGTAGTTTTGTTTTGAATTACCGGTATTTATTTGCATGATATTTTGAACAATTTACAGATTTGTGTACATAGTCTGATGGATATTTTACATTCCTGTCCACATCCAGCTCTCCAGCACTATGGGGAGAAGCCAGGGCGCCCTCTGAGGCCTCAGAGCTCTTTGCTGTGTGTAAACAAACGAAGCTGAAAGTTTGACTTCAGTGAAGCCTACAATAACTGTCAGTGTTTGCAATTTAGGTCTCTACGGCAAGTAAAAGCACAGAGGTATTTAGAGTTACGAGCAACATACTGCCTGATTAAACTTTTGTCATTTATTTAGGAAAAAAGTGACATCAAATGGAAATGATTTATGCATTTAAAGGCTATAAAACAAACAAGGCAGTGGCATGTGTGGGGACACCCCTTTTATTAATTCACTTTGTTTATGAAATAGATTTAAGTGTTGCTTATTTCATTTGATTATGTATTCTTTTATTTGTTTATTTATTTGGGTATTGTGAATAAGATTTGTGTTGAACAGAAAGGAATCGAATGTGTTTGATGCTTCTTTTGGTGCACAAAGCAGTTAACAAGAAAATTGCAAAGCAGAGAAAAAAAGATACATACTGTAAGTCTTTGTCCTTTTTATTTACCGAGTATCAAAAAATAAGAATGTCAGTGTTTTTGCTGTAACTTTGCTTTTCATTTTGCCGATGTTGTCGTTTACTTTGGACAGTTTCCTCTCTCTTTGTGCCAGTCTCCAATGCCACCTCATTTTTTGTACAGACGATGTGAAGCAGTCAGCAGAAGATGAAGGCTAACTTTGTAAAGATTTTGTCAGTCACATTACAAAATGGATATTTAAATGTTTATATCTTTGGTGATTAAATGCTATTGATATTTTTCACTTCAGCTCTGAATCGTCACTGTTCTTTCACACATTCTACATTTAATAAACTACAGTCTACTTAATTACACTTAATCTCATTTATAGTCCAAATCACTTTACCCGGTGAAGGCTTAGCCTTAATAACCTGTGTGGCAGGCGAAATGATGACTCCACCTCGTTTAGTACTGCTACTATACACTGTTACATTAATTAGACAAATATTATCTTTTTCATGTTATTTCAGACTAATCTCTCATTTGCTCTCCTCAGCCCAGTAGAAATTAAGAAGTAAAGGAATGACTCAAAACAAAAAACAAAATGCTCCAACATATTGACTCATAACAGTGCCATGATTTTATGTTATAAGACAAGGAGGCCTATCTAGTGACTAGTTTTGGCTGCAGGTAATAAAAACAGGTAAAATAGCTGGTTACCTCCTGCAGTGCACTAAAAAATTTTTAACTTGTTTTGCCAGATGAAAAGAAGAATCTTCTTCAGGCATCAACAAAGCATATAGTATGCAATTCATAAACATGAACTAATTTTTCAGAAACTTTAGTAATTTAAATTTTTTTTTATTTATTAATCTTTCGATTATTTCAACTGTTTAGCCAATAATAGGCCAGAAAATTGTGAACAATGCCCATCACAGGTTCCCAACAGCGTGATGTCTTCACATCTTTACAGAGCTAGATAATATTTCTAACATGTTTAGCTTGATAAATTACTTAAATTATTATTGATTATTAAATTGTTGGGGAAAACTCTTTCTATTGACATATGAAAATATGTTGGAGCTCTTTACTGTGTTCCTCCATGGCATTTTAACAGATGTCTGTATTTCTAGATATAATACATGGACAGTTGGATGTTTTTGATCACAGTAGCAAAAGAAATGTGGCGTTATTAAGATCAAAAGCGACCCTTGCCCTCTGGACTCCTTAACCACTAGACAAACAAGTGAGAAAACTTTCCATTTTGCTTATAAATGTTTGAACGTAAGAAGGTGAGATTCTCAGGAAGTCAACTATGTCCTGGCACTTTACTGCAGGTTCACAATACAGTGACCTGAACTGAAGCTACTGTGTAACTCCTGTATGTTTCCATTATCTAATGCAGAGAGACTTTGTCTCTGTGTCAGCTGTCAAGGATTAAAACATGAGTTTTGGGCAGCTTGGTGAGAACCAGAAAAGATATCCAAGGGTCAAGCTGCTTGTATGGTTCGTCATGAGCATTTGCTCATAATGTCAGTCAGTAAAGACATCAAACGGTAAGCTGAGGTCTTCAGAGGAAAGATGATACGTCGCTGGCCACAGACACAAAAAGCTTTGGATGGGGGGTTGTGGGATGTTTTGGCTCCTCTGATTCACCAACAGTCCTGCAGGCCAGCTGCTCTCAGTAGTGTTTGGATTATGTGATAACTCTCTATCCAGCAGGCATAGTGCCTGGTTATGTGGCTTAAAGAGAAATACACAGTCTGATTTAGCTATGAAATCATACCATCAGTGTTTGGCAAAGCAGTTTGAATCCTATTGTCATTTTGAAATGCCTCATGTGAGGTATGACCAGCAGACCTCAGAGGCTTGTCTCTCATAAACTGAACAACAGAGACACTGAACAGATGAAGCGTTCAGAGAACAACAGAGAAGAGGATTGGTGTAGGCTATGACTTCCCCATGGGTAAAACTACTTTTAATTATAATTTATCAAATAGGAGAACTAGAATCTTCTGTAGCATAAGATGTTGTGTCCAGAAGATTTTATAGTCGAGCAATTGACAATGATGATTGAATGTTTCTGCTTTACAGGTTTGTAAGAGAGCATATTTCTTTTCAAGATTGTAAAATGATTTCAGCAGGTTGTGAGTTTTAAAATTATGATACATTTTATACTTTTAATAACTACTACAATACTGGAAGTAACTAATGGCTTTGAACCTTATTACCTAGTTATTTATGATAAGATACATGAGTGAACTAAGGCTACTTGTGAGGGTCTCTGAGCAGAATTTAACCTTTCTGAGTCATTCTGAGTCAGAAAAATACTACTGTAATATACCATACTTAGCTGTGCGTTGATATTTATATGGAAGTAAAAAAGATCAAAATACAAAATTGAACTACACAAATAGGCTACTTGTAAAATACCCAACTGCCCCCTGTGTGTGCAGTAAGACAATAACATGGTAGTAAGATGTCGTGTTTGGTGCCACAACTTCAGGAGCAAACGTGCAGGAGTTTAGTGGTGGGAGAAAGAAAGGTAATTTGTCACGCTATTAATGAAATGGCTCCACAAAGAGGAAGAGCTCAGTACTGCTTTTCCCTAAAGGATTTGTGTGACTTGTTTTTCTTCTCTGCTGTTAGGAAGAGCAACGATGCAACAAGCAAAACACGCCACCTCTTTACTCTCACTTGACTCCCAGTTTATAATGTTACTTTTCAGATTACTGCCATGAAAGTCTGATTGTGTTGTTAAAAGTGTGCACTGAACTTTCACTACTGTGCAGGATGAGCACTTCATCACAGGCAGACCTGCCCAGCGGTCAAGGTGAGAGAAACCCTGTTCAGGTATGTGACAGATTATGATGAAGATGTTTATTTTAAATTCATCACCATGAGACATTTGCAAGAATATTTATCCCTGGCAACGTCATGGTGACGACATGACCACAAGAAGCTACTGCATCTGGCCAGGATGCACAGGAATATGGCACCAGTAAAACCACAATGTGTCATTTTTACACTTCAGGTTTTATACAAGTTAAATAACTGACAAATAAAGTGTTACTTAGTGAGCTTTAGAGGTGCTTCTAGGTGGATTTTGCTACTACTGGACAGAACCTGGCTAGCCGTTTCCCTCTGCTTCCAGTCTTTGTGCAATGCTAAGCTGTAGTGTCAAATTTAACAGATAGGAATAAGTGGTAGTTATCTTCTAACCAAACTCTCTCTCTCTCTCTCTCTCTCTCTCTCTCTCTCTCTCTCTCTCTCGCTCTCTCTAAAATAAATAAACAAAACAGTAAGCGCGCGCGTGTGTGTGTGTGTGTCTTCTCTCTCTCTCTCTCTCTCTCTCTAAAAAGCGAAAAAGAATATTCTCCAAAATGTCAAAGTATTGCTTTAAGCTCTTTAGGTTAAACATGTTTCCTGTTTCTATGATAGATCAGATTGCAGTGTGTTTTGCTGTATTCAAACTCATGGTCATGGTCGAGTACAGCAGCCCCCTGTGTCACTGTACTGTCCCAAGGGCTACAGTTGATATGGATCGTTCATTGGCACTCTTTGCAAAGTCATTCCTATATCCTATTACTGAGCTAAAAGAGGAAAATGGGAGAGAATCCCTCATGAATGACCTTTCACAACATGAAACATGTTTGTTTGTTCATCACATGAGACAGATGATCACTAAGGCAGCCATGTATTCAAGAACAAATAGGAAACAATGACTAAATTTTCTAAATATTATAATTTCACTGTATTATTTGTCACCCACAGTGAAGAACGGACAGTAGAGTAGCATAAGAGCAAATGAGCATATTTTCCTAAATGTCTAACTATTCCCTTCAGGCCTCATTCACTGCAGAACTGATGTTTCTGCAATTGTTTCTCGACAGTAGGTTGGTAACTCAGATGGTTATTTACTTGTATTTGTTTACTAGTTGTTGGTTCTGTCTCATGACTGATATGCAGTTGTTTCCATGTGAATGCTTTGTGACAATGGCAACACTGGTGTGTGTACCTCTTCAACAAGATTTCCTTTGAATAATTAATATATTACATGAAAAAAGAAGAATGTGCTTTTTGTCAAAACATGGCTACTGATGGCAAATTGTGCTTAAGTGAGGAAGATTTGTAGATGCAGGCACCAAAACTCAAACTGTTTTAGTCTCCAGCTATATCAAGAAATCCAGCCTGCACTTTTCTCTTCCATAAACCAAGTGGCGGTGCTTTTGTTTTTGTTGTGAAAAGACACATTTTGAGGCAGCAGACTGGCAACATAATTTATTTCATATAGATCTGCAATTTTTAATCAGCAGTTCAATGAAAAGAAATCATATTTTATGATTCTCATTTGTGTCTCTCAAAGAGGTCGCAGATTATTCTTCAGCCTCCTTTCCCTAAAATGGACGGAAAATGGAAAGAAAAAATAATGAATGACAGTAAACTTTGCAGGACTGAGAAACTATTTTATCATGCAACATGTGCGTAGCTTTAACTTCATCCATTTGAAATCCAAATGGAATGAAAATAAAAACAGTCAGCGTACTGATGCATTAGCTCATAAAATCAATCATGTTGTTTTCCTGTAAGATTAACAATAACTACTTGAACTGCCTGAGTTTTATGAATTACTTACTTTTCCAATTTCCCGACTCTTTGCCCTCAGCTTGTTGACCTGAGACTCGGCAATGTCAGCTCGCTCCTGAGCTTCCTCCATCTCATGCTGCACCTTCCTGTACCTGGACAGGTGAGTGTTGGCCTGCTCCTCCTGTGAAATTCAACACTCGAGTAAATATCCATCAAGACCGAGAATACAGAGATTTACAGATTCTGGTAATACATTTTATTTTTTACTGTCAGACATTTTACAGACTTAAAAGAAGAGTAAGGTTGTATATTTCTGTTTCCCTCGTGCAACTTTATTTGACACAACACAGTGAAAAGGTTATAACAAGTTTCTGACTCACAGCCTCCTCAGACTGCCTCTTGTAGGCCTTCACTTTCAGCTGCAGCTTGTCCACCAGATCCTGAAGTCGGGCAATATTCTTCTTGTCCTCCTCAGTCTGCAATTTCCATGGATTCATGATTGCTTCAATCCATTTGCACCTTTTTCAGACAGCTGCACAATCAATAGGGAGAAAAAAAAGCCTACCTGATAGGTGAGCTCCTTCACTCTTCTCTCATATTTACGAACACCTTTGACTGCATCGGCTCCTCGTCTCTGCTCAGCTTCAACTTCAGCCTCAAGCTCACGCACCTGAAATATGAACAATGTGCGCTATTACTGGGAGGGCCAGATTTTAACATTA